TAGATAGATAAGATAAGATAAGGTAAGGTAAGGTAAGGTAAGATAGATAGATAGATAGTTAGAAATATAGATAGAAAGATAGATAGATAGATAGATTTATCGGTAGATAGATAGGCAAACGGATAGATAGATAGATAGATCGATCGATAGATAGATAGATAGATCGATCGATAGATAGATAGATAGATCGATAGATAGATAGATAGGTAGCTAGGATGGATTAGTTAGCTAGATAGCTAGCTAGATAGATAGGATTAGCTAGATGGATAGATAGATAGATAGATAGACATACAGATAGACCGATGGATGGATAGATAGATAGACAGACAGACAGACAAATAGACCGATGGATGGATGGATGGATGGATAGATAGATACATAGATAGATAGATAGATAGATAGACAGATAGATAGATAGATAGATAGATAGTTAGGATGGATTAGTTAGCTAGATAGCTAGCTAGATAGCTAGCTAGATAGATAGATAGGATTAGCTAGCTAGATAGATAGATAGATAGATAGACATACAGATAAATCGATGGATGGATGGATGGATGGTTGGATAGATAGATAGATAGGCAGATAGATAACTAGATCGATAGATATACAGATAGATAGACAGACATATAGATAGATAGATTTATTGATTGGTTTGATTGGTTGATCGATTGATTGTTTGATTGTATGTTTGATAGTTTGATAAATTGATAGGATTATGTAATTTCGTTTTCAATGTTGATAGGCAGAGAGAGGCTGATAGAAAGACCGATAGATTGGTAGATATTTAGGTAAATAGGCACATAGATATTAGATAGACAGACAGACAGACAGACAGACAGACAGACACACAGACACACAGACAGACAGACAGACAGACACAGACAGATAGATAGATAGATAGATAGATGGATAGATAGATGGATGGATATTGTTAGACAGAGTGAGGGAGAGATAGAGAGAGATAGAGAGATAGAGAGTTCGATAGATAGATAAGATAAGATAAGGTAAGGTAAGGTAAGATAGATAGATAGATAGTTAGAAATATAGATAGAAAGATAGATAGATAGATAGATTTATCGGTAGATAGATAGGCAAACGGATAGATAGATAGATAGATCGATCGATAGATAGATAGATAGATCGATAGATAGATAGATAGATCGATAGATAGATAGATAGGTAGCTAGGATGGATTAGTTAGCTAGATAGCTAGCTAGCTAGATAGATAGATAGGATTAGCTAGATAGATAGATAGATAGATAGATAGACATACAGATAGATCGATGGATGGATAGATAGATAGATAGACAGACAGACAGACAAATAGACCGATGGATGGATGGATGGATAGATAGATACATAGATAGATAGATAGATAGACAGATAGATAGATAGATAGCCAGACATATAGACAGATTTGTTGATTTGATTTGATTGGTTGATTGATTGGTTGATTGATTGATGGATTGATTGTATGTTTGATAGTTGGATAAATTGGTAGGATTTTTTGTTTTTCAATGTTGATAGACAGAGAGAGGCTGATAGATAGACAGATAGATTGGTAGATATTTAGGTAAATAGGCACATAGATATAGATAGACAGACAGACAGATAGATAGATAGATAGATAGTTTGCCTCGCCCAGGAATTGCCAGATTGAATTGTATACTACGTGGAACCGCCATGGGCGGTTCTTTTGAAGCACACGGAAGTCAGTTTGACGATCTTTGCACTGGCCGTTAGGGGGCGCGAATGTTTGTCGAGAGGTACCACCTGCTTGAAAGCACCGGCAGCTTGATGATCATAGCAAGGTGGTCGTGATTTTAAAACAACCATGGAAGTGGACAGGTGGAGTAGAACCGCAAGAATGCTGAAACAAATTGAGAAGTTTCCGAGGCTGTCTCGGAAAAACAACTCCAGTTCCATGGTTGTTTGAACTCCAGTTCCAAGGTGGGCCCCCCGTTTACGAAAACTAAGTTAGTTTAGTTCACTGGCTTAGGGATTTGTTGGGGAAGTATCGTCAGATAAACCAACAAACACCACTGGGGGGCAAAATATTTCAAAACTGGCGAACCAGTCAGCCTGGGTCTTGGAAGAGCCCAGCAAACTTCGTCCCTGAATTGGAGAAACGTCACTGAATGGTGACTTGACCCCACCGCGGGCAATGCTGCGGGGCAGTGACATGCCACAGTCTTGTGAAGATAATATGAATAATGAGTTTGAAAATGCCCAAATTACGGAAATGGAATGAATGAAATTATGATTAAACATTTGAATCTTGGGCGTGTTATTTTGTTGACAAACCCAGAATGCCATTTGTTTCTGTGTCATTTGAATGACGGTTCACATGTTTTTGTCCAAAAATAGCGGGTGCCCCATAAATTGTGGCAATGTCACTGTGGAAAATCGGGAAAATTGTGGTACACGTTGATACACCGATTTTGGGGCACCCGATGTCCCAATGTTTTTGTGGAGCTCCCATGCTACCTGCAGGTCGAACCAGATAGGTGTTGGTCGATTCATTGGTGAGCTGTGCGGACACGAAAAACCAGGTGTTGAACTGGTTAGCTACCTTGACTTAGTTCCCTAATATTTTAGGTTTTATGGTAGATCTATATATATATATTTTTTTTTTATAGAGAGAGAGAGAAAGAGAGATACATCTAGCTAGTCCATGTAAAAAAAAAAATCAACACATATCACTGAGGTCACTACCTTGTAGGTGACCGAAACATGGGACCGTTTTTGCTCAACCGTGAGCAACATCCTTTGTCCGTTTGCACCCTAAACTTTGACCCAGACCACTAGGCCAATCCTCAAACGACATGACTGGATGATACTGGATGGTAAACGAGCCCAGTATTGAAATGTCCTTGGGGGAAAAAAGGCACGTGGCGTTGCCCATTCCAGAAATATGATGATTATATGATTTGAATTTGTCTTTCACGTTTTTTTAAGCTACCAAAATTTACCAAAATCAGTTGTTTGGTGAATTGTATAGTCATCCCAAAAGAGATATAAACACGTGTAATTTCTCATCATTGTCTTGGTGTTGATTATCTTTCTTGGGGATTACTAGTTCCTTCATGTAGTTTTGGTGTTCTTTGGTTGAACTATTTCCAAGATGGCTTAGAGGACGGCCAGGGCCAGGGACAGGGCAGCCAAGGGGGCCGAAGGTGGCTAAGTATATACGTGACTGCGTGACTGCAGACGTAAGACAGACACTATGATCATATGCATAATTTTCCTATAATTATATAGCATGCAAAACTATGAGTGCAAAGTGCAAAGCTGTGCCGGGCACCAGGAATGTGTGCCCACTTGTCCTCACGTGTGCAGCCTGCCCTGCATTATGTCCAGAGGCATTGCCGGTGCCCAGTTTTTCAATTGCAGCCCAAGCACCAGATGGAAATGCAGCCAGGATTCTTGGGGTCGCCTGGATGGTTCAGGTCGGTTGGCATGTTGAGAAAGAAAAAAAAAACTCTGGCAACACATAAACAGTGCTTGGGACCACTGTTTGAGCTTATCTCCGGACTCAGATCGGACGCCTCTGATATGGTGCCAATCTGCCGCTGGGGAGGCCGCAGACGTCCGGTGACAGCGCTTTTCTCAGCGACAAGAAGCAGCACCCAAAGACGGAACATAGCGGATAGGTCATGAATTCCCCAGACTGGGGGAGCATCCATGAGTACCAGCTAAATGTCGGTGTCAACACGCCAGGGGAAAGTGACCCACATGATCCCAAAAACGCACTTAAGGCAAGTGAAAAAATGCGGGCATTGGGTTATTTTTGTACATGTCATACATTCCCAACACCTAGAAGAGAGTGGGGTTTGCTTGGTAATTTAACATGTGGACAACTTATATAATTAGGATAATAATCGATAATTGATTAGTTAATTTCAGTATGTCCGTTGCCATGTGAAAATAAAACTGTTTTAGCCCACCTGGGGCGATAATCTCATGGCTTGGAGATGGCTTGGAGATGGGTTGAAACCAGCAACCACTTTTTTGATACTTGAGGGTTTATTGCCCTACAGCATGCATTTAAACTAACAATAATTAACATAGATATGATCAAAAAACAATCTACAGACAGTCTTCAGAGGGGAAACACACTGATTTTCATGTCATTTTTTTCCGGATAGTCAATGATTCATACCCCTATTGCTCCTTTAGCTTACTGCATGGCCAGGTGGAAAAACACTGGGGCAGACCAAATGTGTGCCATTTGAATAGAATTGGAGGGAACATCTACAAGAAACAGCTGTATGTGTACAGTACTGTATATTAAATTCCTTCTTATTTTTTGGGGATTTGCTGATTGAAAACAGGGTTGCCAGCAAAATGCTCCCTTGTTCAGGAGCGAAATAGGGCAAAATATGGTGCCAAATGACATCGCCCATTTCAGTAGATAAGCCAATTCGGTGCAAAAGAACTACAACAGTTCATGATAACCACAGCAGGAAGTGAATTTCATTCAGGGTTCATCCAGATGCTGCGATGTCGTGGGCCCACTATCAGCTTTACAAAAGCGACATCCCTGTCGCTTTTGAATGGTCTCAGCGCATGCCAAAGCCTACTCTCTGGTTGTCCCAAAGCGATGTGAGAGCGGAGGCAAAATGGGTCCCATGGGTGCACGTGAAACATCGTGAAACACCAAGAAGATAATGTCTTCACCAACAAAGTTTATGGCTGGATATGGGTGGTATAAACTTTGACCATCAATCCATATGGGTGGTATTGCTCTAAGATTTGTCCGTGAAAATCGTTGAAGCCTCAGAAGTCATCAGAAGCTGTCAGAGACATCCGGCATCAGCCGACGTCATCAGAATCCAATGTATATCAATCAATATCTCTCATTAGTTATATAATGTTATATAATTATTAAATGGTGGTTTCCTGAAACAGGGGTACCCATAAATCATGCAGTAAATGTTAATTGTATTTTCCACTATAAAACATCCATTTGCAATAAATGTTAATTATATTAATGTTAAATGTTAATTTTCCATTATTTTCCATTAAATGTTAATTGTATTTTCCATAAATCACTCATTGTACCCCCCATTTATGGAAAGCTCCTTTTATCATTCCATAGCCGAGGCCCTGAGTTGGGGGGAGCACAGGGACCTGTGCGGCGCAGCGAACCGGAACCCGCGGCAGAGGATCTCTACACCAACCATGTGGCCTGGTGGTGGGAAAAGTGGTGCCAAATATGGTGATTTTAGGGTTTTTATATGTTTTTTCTTATGGAAATTCATGGTGATGTATGGAGAAAACCATGGAAGAACAACTATGAAGTGGAATAAGTGGATTTGTGGGTGGTGATGGTAATGTAGCTGCTGGTGATTTAGCTGAAACAAAACTTGAGAATTTGATGAAATTACCACAAGCACATGGGATATCATGAGTATATAGTATGGCCATATTCTGACACATTATAGTAAAAGATAAAGTTGGATAAAGTTGGTGATCGATTGCTGGCCGGTGGTTTCAGCCATATTCTGTTCAACCAGAAATGGCGTGATGATACCCATTGGGTGACACCATGGAATCCCTGTTTCGAAAGCCATGGTTTCACATTGTTTCACCACATTTCTTCTCAATACGCTAATGTTACGTCTCTTTCAAAATGGTGATCCAATCACTGAAGTGATTGGGGAAATTGTACTTTTATGCTTCCGGATAGTAACTCCCCTTACAGTGATGTTTATTTTTTTGGGCTTCACATACTGCAATTAGCACATGGATATGTACATGGTATTCTGGTTGGTGGTTTGGAACATTTTTCCCACATATTTGGAATAATCATCCCAATCGACTTTCATATTTTTTAGCAGGGTAGGTCAACCACCAACCAGTATTGATCAAAATCATCAAAAGTTGTGTGGTTAGCGCACAAGGTACCGGTTGATTCGACCGGCGATTTGACGCGGCAAGACGGTGTTTGCTTATCTGCTCATCTCTTTGGCCTTGTGGATATTTTCTGGGTTAGGAACCGGGTTCACATGGTTTGCATATATGCTGCGTGGTGCTGGAATATTTACTAACATTTGCCCGAACAAAATCACCCAAAATGTAGGTAAATACACCATACCTGGAGCATGGGATAGTGTTCTAGACTTTTCCTGAATGTACAATTTGAAGCTATATCTAACATACTTGCCTCGCAAAACAAAAGAAAGGTCCATCACACATACCACTATTTCGTCCCCCAAAGTTCGAACATCAACTCAATATGAACTATTAAAACAATCTAAAAGTGGGATTTTACCCAATGGTGGGTGGGAAAAACAAATCCATCTTACATTGAGGATTGCCATACTATTTAAGATGCGTGTGGAGTCTTGTGGAGTTGAAAGCTCTACTGGTTTCGTGGTTCACTGCCATGGATCTCAGGTGCGCAACTTGGTGGGCACCACTGTGGCAGGCGTCATTCAGGAGACGGAAAATCACCGGGAGGGCCTGGTTGGAGGAAGGGGAGGGCTTTATGCAGTAAGTTGATAGTAACATTGTATATCATATAGTATTTAATATGATATACTATGATATACTGTAAAAACAATATATGCATATAATATTAATATTGTGCATATATATATATATATATATATATATTAATATATGTAGTATACTTATTATACACACGTTAGATATACATGTGGATCCTCCGACTTTTAAGTGCGAGAAATACATATTACCTTAAAAGTGCAAGTTGCGCAATTGTGCAATCAAAATTGTGCAATCAAAAAGTACATGGTCCCAAAATATATTTTGAAACCAAAGTCGGCCATCGTTACAGAGCCGACGTTCTTTTTCAAGCGGCCAGACCATGAAATTGGTTATGTTCATTTCAAGCTCCTGTCACAAGTTGGTGCATAGATGTTTTCCAAAAAAACTGTAGTTGAGTTTGATGCATATATAATTATAATTATATATATATATATTATACCACAAGCCCTAGAGAGCTACAAAATACCAGCAGTGCCATGTAAATTAGGTCTCCCTCACACACATAGCCAGCTGGCTGATTTGCCGGAAACAATGGCGTAGTAGTGACCTTCTGAATTCTCACGTTGGTTTATGTTCAACCCCCACTGTCCTTTAAAGTTGCTTCCCATATGCTCCATGTATGGAATATGTATCAACCTGTTGCCTTCATAATCAACCAAATGTAGGTAAATGTACCATACATGGAGCATATGGGTTTTGTTTTTTGCCAGAAGATTGCTGAGTATCCTAGCCGCATTCTTGGGATTCAGGTCGCCTAGCTGCATGCTGAAGACATCTATTTCATTCTACCATTGCTTGAGGAGGTATGATTATTTGGTAAAGCTTCGGGCAGGCTGAAACTCGTCATTTGGTAGTTATACATGAAAGAATGCAATGGAATATGGGAATGTATGATATAACTTCAGTATATCAAGCTGCTGAAAAGACACTTGTTTGCAGGGTATTTAAGGTGGTAAACGTGACAAAAACCAACCCCGACATCACCAGATTTCTGGATGTCATAAAACCCGCCACAAAATCACAAAATGGGCCTTCAGTCCGGGGTGAATCCCATCATTTACCTCAACAAATCACCGAAAAAAAGGTGACGTCCCCCATTGTGATGGTTGTTGATTTATAAACACCATGAACATCCGTTAACTCCAATCGTTATAGCTATATTATTTATATATAATATGTATATATATATCCCCCATAGAAGCTTGCATGCTGCCCATGGACCACGCTTTTGTAGCCAGATGCAGAAGCATGAACGCAAGGCGGTTTACAGCTCGCATTGACCAAGACTTCGCTTCAAAGTAAGCACACGAATTAGCTGCTGGCCGCGTCAGATGACACTATGGGCTAGTGAGAAAAAAACATATCCCCCATAAACCACAGTTACCCAAAGAATAAGTCAACTTAGCTTCGGGGTCCTCACCCTGTAGCTTTCCAGGTCGAAATGTATATACCAGCCCTGTGCCTTGCAGATTCAGGGTCCATCTCCCATGTCGTCTGGCCAGGAACCGGGCAAGGACGTCCTGGTGAACTGTTTCGCCCCCTGGTGCGGCCATTGCCAACGCTTCAAGCCGCGCTACCAAGAGCTGGCCAAAAAGCTGTCGCATGTCCAGAGCCTTGTGGTCTCTCAGAGTCTTGGCATCGGATGTTTTTTGAACCGGAACTTCTAAAAATAGTAGTATGTTTAGTGCTTTGAAGGGAAGATGGATTCATCAGTTGTTTTGATTTCAGAAGTTGTGATATCATATGCCAGCCACACGCATTGATTCCAAGCGTTTTTGGGATGATAGTCATCTCACGTCGCAACGTCACTGCAATTTGCAGGTTCGGATTGTTTATTTTTTGGTATCCCCAGCCATCGCCGAAGCTTTCTAGTTGGCGAATTTATACAGATTGATGACATGGCGATTCTGAATGGACAAATGTCAGACCACATAGTTGATCATTATAATATATGTACATATATATATATATATGTGTTTTTTAAATGTATTATATATATTTTTTTTTAAATATATATATATATATATAATTATATATATATACACATTGGTTGGAACAACCATGACCTTAAGCCTTAGGGATTTGAGGCTGATTTACTTACAAATGACTAATGTAAGGGATAAACCAACCTTACTGGTGGTAAATTGAAATATACTTAATCTAGTTGGTGGTTTGGAACATTTTTCCATATATTGGGAATAATCATCCAAACTGATTAATTTTTTTTCAGAGGGGTTGAAACCACCAACCAGTAATAGATAAATTCGCGGGGATTGTCCAAACAGGAATTCACACACCAGTGGAACCAATGTACAGTGATTGAAGAATCATGGGGGAGTTGAACTTATTAATTCTCAATCATTAAGATTTTGGGGAAATTTGGTCTAGTTTGCGCTGAAATCATATTTGAGCATATTATATATTTGATAGTGACAACGTGATATTGGTTTAATCAACTGTTGTAGGTTGACATTGCGCAATGCGCAAATCATGGACATGTAAAGTGAGATATTTGGACAATCAACCTTGATTGAGGAGTCTCATGGCTTATAGTTTGCCATGGTCAAATCCTCATGACCCAGAACGCACTAAGGATGGATTGCACCCAGAACGACTTGGGTCCTTTAAGACGACTCTCGGAACCGGAACCAACCTAAGAGTTTTGACCTGAAAACCACTGCTTGGTGTGTTTTGATAATAGGTTATTTGTTACTGTTTATCTTCTTTCTGGTATGATGTAATTACATGCTTTCTTGATGATATAATTCAATTGCACGCTTATGTTTGCTATGAGTATGGTTGTGATTATCGCTATTCTGTAATCAGCGGAGCTTGACATACCAGACTATTCTGCAGCTGAATTTGACGAATCAGAAGGCAGAGACGGGTGTCATGAACCCCAACAGCAGCAGCAGCAGCATCATCATCATCATCATCATAGTCATCAAGCCCGTCAAAATCGTCATATATCGTCATCATCGTCATGATCGTCATCATTGTCATCACCATCACCCCACAATCATCACCACCACCACCATGGTGGTTGTTGTTGTTGTTGTTGTTGTTGTTGTTGTTGTTGTTGTTGTGGTCGTCGTCATCGTCGTCGTCGTCGTCGTCGTTGTTGTTGCTCTTGTTGTTGGTGTTGGTGTTGTTGTTGTTCTTGTTGTTGTTGTTGTTGTTGTTTTTGTTTTTGTTTTGTGGTGGTGGTGGTGGTGGTGGTGGTGGTGGTGGCGGCGGCGGCGGCGGGTGGTGGTGGTGGTGGTTGGTGGCGTGGTGGTGGTGGTGGTGGAGTGGTGGTGGTGGTGGTGGTGGTGGTGTTGGTGGTTGTGGTGGTGGTGGTGGTGGTGGTGTGGGGTGGTGGTTGTTGTTGGTGGTGTTGTTGTCGTTGTCGTTGTTGTTGGCGTTGGTGGTGTTGTTGTCGTTGGTTGGTCGGTTGTTGTCGTTGGTGGTGTTGTTGTCGTTGGTGGTGTTGTTGTCGTTGGTGGTGTTGTTGTCGTTGGTGGTGTTGTTGTCGTTGTTGTTGTTGTTGTTGTTGTTGTTGTTGTCGTTGTTGTTGGCGTTGGTGGTGTTGTTGTCGTTGTTGTTGTTGTTGTCGTTGTTGTCGGTTGTTGTCGGTGGTTGTTTGTTTGTTTGTTTGTTTGTTTGTTTTGTTTTTTTGTTTTTTTGTTTGTTTGTTTTGTTTTGTTTTTTTGTTTGTTTGTTTGTTTGTTGTTGTTGTTGTTGTTTGTTACTTCGTTGGGTATACTCAAGTTCAGTCTGCATTTGTTTTTGTCAATTCCTTCACCAAATCAGGTGGTGAGGATAGTACGGTAATAACATATAATGATACAACATGATATATAACACTACCATGATGTAAAATGATGTAAAATGACTGTAGTTAGTTAGATGGTTTGTTGTTCAAACCAATTTAGCTAACTAGTCGGTCGAAGCACCGCCATTTGTACCATGGCGCCCCTAAGGGGCGCGTGCTTTCGAAGCAACACGGTTCGTAGTGTTGTGTGTTCTGGGAACCTCATGTTTCCCTCCTTTTTCGACGTGACACCGAGGAGTAGTGCGTGGATATCCCACCATCGCCTTATTTCCAGATGGTCGAAAGGAGGACATTCAACTCTACGTCTTTCGGCGCTGATTTTATGAGGGGATTTAACCAGCAAACATTTGGGGATTTGCATGGATTTATATAACCAACAAAAACAGCGGTATAATTTGGATTTTGCCAATGAATATGCTGATATAATGAGACACGGCATTAATGAACATATAAGATGATATTTACAATATTTACATATATACAAAATACATACCCTTTCATATCCTCTGATAGTTTGCCATGCAGAACCACCCTGTTAAATAGATAGATAATTAACATAAATAGTGTCATACGGTAATAATGGTTGGACATATATGAAAATTCAATTTAGTAGTTTGCTATTGGACATACCCGTTTTTTGATGGGCAAATCATCGAACGAAATGTGCCATGGTATTGCCAGGGTGTAGATGGCGGGCAATGATAAATGTGGCGAAAAAAACCAATGTGGCCGTCTTTGGTGTTTCTCAAGAAACTTATCCCCCTATAAAATGTGTGTGGTCTGATCATGTTTGAATGTGTTTGCCCCCAATTCAAATCGAAATCCCTCAGTGCTTGTATCTCTTCACCTCGTTGTTTTTTTTTTTAATGTTGTTTGGTAACCCTCAAATCGACCTTGTTGTAAAATGTTACCTTTTGTTGTCCAGAATTAAGTTACAATGTTGATCAATTTTAACTAAGGAAAAACCCATCCACATAACTTTGCACCTTCAGAATGTTGATTACATTTAGGAAGGTTTGTACCTTCGATTGGTGTAAACGTTTGCATCAATTGGATGTCCAAGATTCAAGGGACCAGCCATGTTTAAAAATCCAACAGGCTTGCAAAAAACAAAAATTGCAGGTACCGTGAGTGATAGCCACTTTTGGGGCAACCTTTGGTAATTTTGCTACATACATACATATTACATACATACATATATATATATATATATATATAACTACAACTATAGATATATATATATATATTATATATATATATATGTATATATGTTGCCTCGTTGTCTACCAATTTTCCCTCCAAACGTTTGTCAGCTCAGGTGGGAAACCGATCACCCGAGGACATGACCAAGTGGCTTCATACAAAAGTGGCCTGGCTTCATACGACGCTTTGCGGATCCACTGGGTGGGTCATGGATGAACTATCAAATCATATCAATGGCCATTTCAGGAGCCTATTGATTGGAGCTACCTACCATATATAAGGCCTTTTTTAAAGGCCTATGTAAGGGAATATCCCCAGAAAATATGGTCTTATATGGTACAGTACCTCCATTTTAGGATCCTGAAATTCCCATTGATCATATGGTTTAAGTTACCCTCTGGTAAACTAACATAGCGAACTGGAAAATCCCTTATAAATGGAGCTTTTAATGGGAAAATCATCTATAAATGGACCATCTATACCATGGCTATGTTAAATAATCAGAGGGTATCCGGGTATCTCATAAGAAAAGGTGATTTAACTACAGCACCAGAGATTGGGATGTTAAGCTTCAAAACACATGGTTTTAGTATGTTTTAGCTGTTATCAAGTATTGGAACTTGGCCACAGGCATTGAGTACATACCTTGTATGGCCGATCTACACTGATTGCTGGAAGTGTTCATTGCACTGGCATAGCGCTGGGAGATTTCCATGTGTGGTCCATGCAAGACCCTGGAATTCTGGGGAAACACATGTACGAATGGAGTTTCAAATTGAAGTCTGTGAGTCATTTTTTAACATGATCAGAGAATAATCTAAATCTGCATCATGATCTGTATATCCCTGTAGGCCCAAGTACATCCCTGTAATACTCCTGAGAAGCTATGGCTAGCCGGCAAAATCATACCCCAATCATGCTCCCTCAGAAGGTACCGCTGGATCCATAAGGATCACACACACAACTATCGTCTAAAAATCAAATGGGTATAATGGGTTGGGTTTTCTTGGGAACATCTTGAGGAAACTCAGGAAAACATGTGTTTTTTTTCCATGTTTTCTCGTCAAATATGATGGTAAATCCTGCAGATTAGTTATTTCCTGAAGCCATCACCCTGCCACCAATGGGAGGTCACGCACGCCTTTTCCGACACCGCGCCTGAGCCCCCGAAGAGCGAGGGCGACAGCGGGCTGTTGAACGACGATGACTCGAATGATCTCTGAGATACGGTGAGATGTCCATGTCTAGGCGGTGGTGCCCTAAGTCTTTAGAAACATATCCTATGGTAAACTAAGGTAGATGTGGAAAATCAAGCATTTGTAGACTATAAATGACTATAACATGGGTTTTCCATATCTATGTAAGTTTACCCTAGGGTAATGAACCAATTCAACAATTGGGTTTCTGGTAGATATTGATGATATACATCAGGATGAGTAGATTTTATTAGTTACATGAGTTGATAAACTAACAAGCACAACTGGTAGGCACCGTCTTCCAATTGTCGTGAATACTTGTGGTTTTCCAAATGCAACGGCTCCGGCTCAAAACGCAAAGATGTGGAGTCCACCAACCAGGCATCCTTTTTAACAAGCAAGACAGGGAACTTAAGGAATGTAATATTGTTAAAACAATGTCATAAACTAGCCATGACTGAGAATGGTTGGAATCCCATCTATAAACATGGTGATGACTGGGGGATTGTTGATATTGTTTTAACTACATTAAATAGATAAATAGTTACTTTGCAGCAACTCTTGTATGGATTTAACATGATTTAACTTCAATCATGGAAATTAAACCACCAATCCCTTGGGATCCAGGTTGAATGATCCTCGCATTGGATTTGGAGGTTCCAACTGTTGAGACCGGCGACGTGGTGAACTGTGCATCTCATGTTCATGACATACATTTTATGCATTCATATGCCATATATTATTATAATCTATTATATATGTTATATAGAATATAGAACATTTATTTAATTATATCACACGCACACACACACACATATATATATATACATAATACACACACATATATATATATATATTTACACACACATATATATATAAATATAAATATTGCATATGGATATATCCACAGGGGCCGCATGTTTTTGCATTCCACCATTTTTGATGCACGTTTGGTTCAACGTCCCGCGCAGCCATCGGTTAGTGCGAGCATTTGGCCAGAAAGTGGCTGAATGCAGAGACCCATGAATCCTGGAAAGGATGCGATCAATGAAAATGTGCGTGGCCGACTATTCAATTTGACCTCAAAGAATAGGGCCACTGTGTGTTGTTTTTATGCCACATGTGTTCTCTTGAGTCAATGTAGATGTGAATGATGCATTTTTTGATGCTGAATTGTGATGTTTTGGGGGCAATAAATCTAATTTTTAGTTTGGATCTGAGTTTCTAGTTGCGTTTCTGTAATATGAAGTGGTGGTCAAAGGTTTGGCTTTTGTCAGCTAGGGACCTGAATTTTGGATGAATTTCCTGAGATTCTACTTGTTCATGGGTTCCACGTGACATGCCCAGGTGGGTATATCCTCCAGAAATCTAAGATGGCGAGGAACATGTCCCTCTTAACTATGTTTATTCATGAATGACTCTTATTTAAACAGATGGTTTTGCGGCTAGCCATGTTTGATTACCGTAAATCCTGATTGTCCATGGCAACTACCTTTTTTTTTAGTGAGAAATCCACTTCGATCGAACATGTCTTCTGGTTAACCCTCTGGTAATTTAACATAGCTATGGAAAATCACCATTTTTCATGGGAAAATCCACTATAAATGGCAATTTTCAATAGCTTTTTGTTAAATTACCAGAGGGTAAACCCCACCTCTTTCCGAAGTGAAACCAATCTTTTTAGCGCTGACCTGTCGCATGGGGAAGCCAGGCAAGAACGACCGGCTCTGATTCGCAGGTGGTTGGGGCGCCTGGTAAAACCTGGCCGTCAACGCGGCCAGCGTTTAGCTGTGCTGATAGTCAGCCCCCCAAATAGGTTAATGATTAAAGTGATTTATAGCGTTTATCAGTGTTTAATAGTGCTTGATTGTGATCATTCATATTTCATAGATGGTCATTAGCGAGTACTGTTACAAACCCAATGATAAACCAGCCCATTAAACAACAAATCTTTGGAGCAATTTTGCATCGCCCCAATAATAAATCACAATGGGCGATGTTTTATGGCATTGGGTTTACCACATTATGGAAGGTCTAGAATAATGTGGTAATTTCATACACCATCCCCAAAGTCAGTAAATGGGTTCTCTATACAATCCCCAAATTGTAAATTGATTATCGGGTTGTTCACATGATTCCAGTATATTCCAGTTATCCATTCTTCATTTTTTATTGTTAATTATATATATATGTACCCATTTTTCACCAGTATCAACTATTACTTGCCATTATTAACCAATAATAATCATCAATTAGCCATTATTAACCATTATTAACCATTATTAACCATTATTAACCATCATTAACCATCATTAACCACTCTTGGTCATGATTAACAATTATTAAGCATTATTCTAGGCTCTTTCCCCAGGCCATGCGATCAGAGTTCACGATGGGACCGTCCAAAACAAAAGACTTTCATCAAAGTTAAATCACATGTGTACAATATACATATATAATATCATATATATATATATAGATATATTGGTTAATATTGTGTGTATATATATATATCTAATGTAGTATTTTTAAGTGTTCTTTATATAAACATATATAGTTATAATAAGTACATATGATATATATATATATTTATTTATATATATATATATATACATATTAAATAATTATAATACATAAGGCATATAAATGTCATGTATCCCGATATGTCTGGTTTGAAGCTTTTTTCTGGTCTGGATCAGAAGCCGACTTTCACATCCCTGCGCTGCTCAGGTAGCCTGCAGTGGGCAGTTTTTGGTGGCAAGGCCGGTGCTGCTTCAGGTCCGGGACCCTGGTGACCCTCGAAGCCTGGAATGATGGTTAACAAGAGGAATCATCCCAAAATGGCGCAACGTTTCAGGTTAGTGAATTATTATATTTTACCCAGATGTTGGAATGTAGTCGTTTTTTTTTAAAAAAATCGTATACGTAGTCATAGATACATGGGTCCAATTGAAATGACTAGAGCTACGGTTCATATAGATCTGACCTGTACTAGTAGCAATGGACAACTAAAATTGTTCAAATGTCCATTTTACCCATGTTGACTTTCTCCATGCATTTCCATTCCGGACAACATATGAAACAACACTGAAATGATTATCCCCCGGCCCCACAACCTTTGTTTACTGAATCCGACTTGGATGCTGGAGAAAAAACAACAGGAAACCCTTCGAATTACTAATATAATTGAGTCTAGACATGACGGAAAATCCAGTCGAATTTCACAACATTGTCTCCATCTCTTGCGGGATCTTGCGGGTCTGCCGAAGGCCCCGACTTCGCCAGACGCTAAGGATTTGGAACTTTGCTATGCAGGATTTTGCGCGCGCAATGGCATCCCAATGGTTGGGAGTCCAATTTTTGTGTCGTCGTTGCGGTCGTTATGGGGATGCGTGCCAGGCATGGTAAGTGGATGAAGTATCCTTTTTTCTTGGTCACATATACATATATGTATGTGTACACAGACATACGATTGTACAATGTACGCGCACACACACATGTGTATATATATATATATATTATACACATAGACTTCAATGTGTTATGAACCATGTTCTTACTAAGTGGTATGCGCATCGAAGTGCTGCAACCATGATAAAAATTCACCCCCAAAAAATAATATAGAACCCAAGAGGGTCATGTCCACTAGTAACATTATGCTTGGGACCCCCTTGTTTGACCATGGGGAGATGGGTACAGTACCTAGTTGGGTAAACCAACTAGTGAAGGGCATTTTTTTCAATCCATGATCCACTGGGAGTAGTATGGGAGTCCCATCAGCAAGGGGCCTCTTTAAATTCCACTATCATGAGAATACCATCTGGTTATGACTAACATAGCCATGGTATTATAGATGGCTCATTTATAGATGGTTTGCCTACTAAAAAGGGTGATTTTCCATGGCTATGTTAGTCATAACCAGATGGTAAGTTTTGATGGTTGTTCTGCGTGATGCTGCGTGCGCCTCTTTTGGTGCTCATTTGGATTCACAGATGCGACCCACACTCTCCCACAAAAAATCGTTGTTTGCCCAAGGATTGCTGGTCCCATTCTTGTGTAACACTGTGAATCCCATTCCAAAAAAAGAGCTCGCAGAAGTGCTAAAAACCAACGCTCCATAACCAAAACAACAATGTAATTCATTTTTTTTAGGTTATCATTTGTTTGGTCCCGCAATTGTTTTGTACGGTGAACATTTGTTTGATTGAAAAAAATGTCCTCCGTACCCTGAAAACTACCCCACTCACACAGACACACGCATTAAAAAGATGATTGAAATCGATTGGACAACATTGAGCTACGTATGATATACAACAGTAAATTGTAGGAATATGGTGATTTATACTAGCAACTATTTATTTGTTATTCCAATTTCCCAAATCATGTTTGGGTGGTGGTTTGGAACATGAATTTTATTTTTCCATATATTGGACATGTCATCATCCCAACTGACGAACTCATATTTTTCAGAGGGGTAGGTATACCACCAACCAGATAAAGCTTGGATAACCATTAATAACAATTGATAACCATTAAAAACCATTAATAACCATAAAAACTATTACTGTAATATCAATTAAGAACCATTAATCACCATTAATAACCATTAATAACCATTAATAACCATTAATAACCATTAATGACCATTAATGACCATTAACCATTAACCATTAATGATAGTATGTTGTTATTATCCCACCCTTGAAGTGTGTTGGATCTCGTGATTCGTGATTTCTCCGCCTCCCGAACGCCCCCAGGAACGTGTGGACGGCAACTCGGAGGCGAATGGATCCATATCCATAAGACTGATGTACATAGCCAAACACACACACACATATATATATATATATATACATTATACATGTATGTGTATATGTAAGTATGTATATATATACACATATTTATTCATGGAGGGCTATGTTTTTTCTTTTTGCGGCAGGTTTGGATGTTTTTTTTGGATTCCTGGTTGTATGTTTTCCTGCTTCTTTGTTTTACTGCTGTTCTGCTTCTCTGCTTTTCTGCTTCTTGGCGTTTCTGCTTCTCTGCTTTCCGTGCTTCTTTGCTTCTCTGTTTTTTTTTGCTTCTGTGCCTTTCTACTTCTACTATTCTACTTTTTCTTTTCTTCAGTCATGTGTTTTTGCTGCTCCACTTCCTGCTCCTTTGCTTCTCTGCTTCTGTCTTTACTGCCTCTTTGTTTTTTCCCCACCTGCCAGGTGAGGGTTGTTAGGTTTTATCAGAGCGCATGCCCGCCTCCTCCTCCGCCTCCTCCTCCTCCTCGACTAGCTGTCCTCCTCGCCCTCCTCCTCGCCTCCGCCTCTTCCACCTCCACTTCCGCCTTGCCAACCTTGCCAACTCGTCGCCAAGCTCTTCGCCAACTTCCCAGCTCAGTGCGCACTGCTGCACGTCAACCTGCGAGTTGCCCAGCTCAGTGTGCACCGCTGGACCTCAACCTGCGAGCTGCCCAGCTCAGTGTGCACCGCTGGACCTCAACCTGCGAGCTGCCCAGCTCAGTGTGCACCGCTGGACCTCAACCGGCGACCTGCCCAGCTCAGTGTGCACCGCTGGACCTCAACCGGGGACCTGCCCAGCTCAGTGTGCACCGCTGGACCTCAACAGCCAGATAGAATGCCAGAAGATATGCCAGATAGAATGCCAGATAGAATGCCAGAAGATATGCCAGAAGATATGCCAGAACATATGCCAGAAGATATGCCAGATAGAATGCCAGAAGGTTTGCCAGATAGAATGCCAGAAGATATGTCAGATAGAATGCCAGAAGATTTGCCAGTAAGAAAATGTATAAATGTCATGGTGGGGATCACATGAAGTAAAGTAATTTTCTTTTCTTTTGTTTTATTCTCTCCTGTCTCCTAAATGAAAACCTAAAGACAGGTGAAATCCAAAGAAAAACTTAAAGAAATCCTGGTAAGAACTGATAAGAACCCCCTACATGAAACCCTAAATAAACCCTAAACGTAAAGCAACCTCAAATGAAAGCCTAAATGAAACCTTAAATGAAACCTAAAGAAACCCTTAAATGAAAGCCTAAATGAAACCTTAAATGAAACCCCAAAGAAACCCTAAATGAAACCCTAAATGAAACCTTAAATGAAACCCCAAAGAAACCCTAAATGAAACCCTAAATGAAACCCTAAAGGAAAGCCTAAAGAAACTCTCAAGAAACCCACATGAACGTTTGAAGTACCAAAATGTAGCAAATACTATGCAAATGAGAGGTTGAAGTGCCAAAATGTGGCAAATACCATGCAAAATGGAAGGCGAACATGGCCAAATGTAGCAAATGCCATTCAAAATGCAAAGTAACCATGCCAAAATGTAGCAAGTTCATGCAAAATGCAAAGTAACCATGCCAAAATGTAGCAAATACCATACAAAATGACAGATTCTAGTTCCAAACTGTTGCAAATACAAGACAAATGGTACCAGGAAAGAAAACCAAACAAAAATCCAAAACCTGAGCAAAAAAAACAAAAACTATTCTGAACCCTTTATTTATCTCCATGCGTGACATATATATAATATATATATATATATATTATAGTCTATATGTTGGTGGTAATTGCTTGAAGATCCACACTGCAAGTTGATGTCGCTTTTATTTGTGGCCTCGTCTCTTAGGACTATTTTTGATGGCATTGCCCATGGCCCATGGTTGATGATTTGAATAATTTGATTGTTTCCATTATCTTGTCAAACCAATGGGAAAATCATATTTGTGTGATAATATATCTTAATGGTGATTTGACGTAATAAGTTACTATAAGTTGATGTATGATTCTCTTTTATGATCATGTCAAATCACCATTCTGGTGTGATAATATATGATATTACTCGATGTTGGGTGATACCCTTTTGTAATTTAACATAGCCATTGAAAATATGCCCATCTACTTCGATGTTACTTGCCAGGGAAACAACAAATTGGACCAAGTTTCCATAGTGCTCACGTTCGTTCACGTCTCGACAATACCATCAATGCCCTCATGGACCGATTTTGGGTAATCAAAGTCGGGCCCCTTCCCCCGTTTATCAACACCTGGAAACGAATCATGGTGGATGTATATTAGGTGATAAAAGCACACTTGGGAGATATTGGGACCACGGAATGGGGGTGTCTGACATGGAAAGGGGGATGGAATTGATTTCGACCCCCCCTATGCTGTATTGAATCAGCAGAGTTTCCAGCACTTCCATTGCTGTCAGATCGTGATGGTGGAGCGATTCTTCCATGTGATCAGTGGTTTCCGTGCGCCTTTTCCAGTGCCTTTGGAACGGAAGGCGGAGCTTAAGTCGCTTAAGTTCATCGCAGTGTCCCATCCATTGTCTCACCCTTTTAAATTAGGACCCCGAAATATCCCATGAATTTCGCCCAGGTTTCTGACACATTGGGATCGGTGGCGGTCGCCCTGCGGGTAGATCATGACACCTCGGATGATCCCCACCTGCCGCCAGGCCGTGGCCGAAAGTCACCACAGCCTCGCGGGAGACCCAGCGAAAGGCCTGAAAGTGGCCCTCCCAAAGTGAGAAATGATACGGATGCCAACTGATGCCGATGCACGGGAGGCAATGACCCCTTTTTTTCCGGACAAACCCATATATATATATATTTGCATAACTGTTTTATGCATTTGATCGCCTCCGGTTTTTTTGACACGGAAACAACAAGGAGGAATCCTTGTTTGGTTGGCTAAGGTGTGTTTTTCTGTCAGCCATGCGTATATGAATAACATGCTTCGCCAAAGAATAACATGTTCTTGCTGGCACTGCTAGCGATGCCCCCAGGTTCTCGTTGAGAACCCAACGTCCTGTGCCATCGTAGCAGAGGTCAGCAGCGATAGCGACCCCACAATGAGGTCACCATTTTTCTGAAATTGTCCTAGGATTGGGGGAATTACCATGAATTACCCACACACATTATTTTTTTCATATTTTTTCGGGTATGCGATTTTTTGAAAACTGATTAGATAAATCATCGAATTGGGGTTTCACCCCCTTGAAGGATGGATGTGCTGTACACCTGGTTGGGTACGTGTGAATGGGTCAATTGTTAGCCATAGCGGGGGAAATACAGCGGCCAGCTACAGCTTGATTTTGTATTCAGGATTGGTGAAGGGATGTTTTTCCATTTTTTGAGTTACACTGTACCATCATTTAGGGGTGCTCAAGACATATACTGCAAGCAAACCTTGTTGGGTTTGATTTGTTGGCTTCTTTGGCAAATATGATGACAACATGTTGGGTTGAAGAGCTGAAAAGCAGTCGCACTTCTGGTGATATTTTGGACCTGGCCTGCTGGAAAATCCTTCATTCAGTTCGAGCATGTTCACTTCAAGACTCCGTTTATTCATACAGTCTGCCGTAATCAAACATAGCAATTTGAGATCCAGGGTACATCAACGGAGCCTTTAGGAAAATCAATGAACATCATGTAGAATTGCCATGTTGGATTGAGATATTTGGAGCCTCAACTCCCAGAGTTGGTTCCACAACCCATGCACACATTTGTTTGGATTTTTATACCCGGCCCATAATAGGGAATGATGGGATGAGAATGGCCCAGAAATCATGTTTGACCATGGTGAAGTATGACTTGAAGCATTGGCTGCTGGATGCTGCTGGTGTGAACGGAACCGAATCCACTTGTCTTGTGAGTGGCTGTTGGGTTCATTAATTTCACTGTCCATTAAATGTCACAAGATGTGATTGACCAAGATTGCTGTCATTTATATACTCAGTTCAGGCCTCGAATTGGAACTCCCAAACCTGGGTTTTGAGATACATATTCCATCATATTCTTGGCGAAAGTGTCAAAATCACATAAAGTATCCAGTGAATTTGACGAGTTTCTTTGCCAGTTTCCATATGTTTCCATTGATGTGTTGTTGCAGTTGATGTGTTTGTTGCTTCACCCGTCACCCCATTCGGCTTTCCTTAGCCGTCATAGCCTGCTGGGACGGAACTTGTTGGCCAGGTCCATGGGCTATTCCTTTCCCATGACGGAACCATGGTGCTGGTATATATGCTAACATAAAGGGGGTATATTGATGGGATCCATGTTACCATATATATATATACATATATAGCATACATGGATCCTATGGGTTTTAGTATGCTCATTACGTTCCCTCGGGCAGATTTCAGAGTATTTAAGAAACCACGCTACACAAAATAAGTTTGGAACCTCCAATGTCGGTATATATGTGTACCAGAAAACGTTAATCAGAAAAATCAATGCTCTGACAATCAAGGGAAGCCCTTAAACCGATCGTGTATCATTGTGTATCATGATGATCACATTCAAACATATTGTCACATTGAACATGTTGAGTTAAACATCGCATTTTGCGGCATCCCAATGTCTGAGACAAAGCCATGCAGCTAAACTGGCACCCCAAAATCATCCCATCATCCCATAGCGTTCCTCCTGCCGCAGCTGCCGAAAATCCAGGCGCCGGTGAAGCTGTCGAATCCTGAGGAGCACGGGAGATCACGGGAGCCCGTCCATCGTTCTGAAACGATGGTTGTATGGTTTTACCCTCTGCAGTAAATTAACATAGAGCCTGAAACTAGCCAATCTTGAGTGGAAACTAATCTTCCAACCCCTATCTGCCAGGGTCTATGTTAATCTACTGGAGGATAATTTGTAAATCAACTATAAATCGGCCACTTTCCATAGCTATGTTAAATTACCAGAGGGTACTAGTGAACATGACAAAAAATGGTGGTTTAAACATGTTTTAACAGGCAACAAGACTCGGTGTTAGGAATTGGCCCTACAGCTACAAAATGCCACGATTGTTAATGATGACTAAGGCAAGAATCATACAGTAAATGGATATAGCTATGGGAAAGGGTCCATTGCTGTAGAAGTCAAATTGGCCAATCTGAAATTTACCAAATCAAATAATCTGCGGTCCTCGATGATCGATCGATGATCGATGAGCTCCAGGAGAAACAGGCACGACAGCGAAGCACTTCCAAGATGTCCACTGCGCAGGTGGGACGTGGTCGAAACTCGGGGGACATTTTGGGACCAAGAAACCGGGTGGGTTTTTCACATGGTTTTAACAACCAGAAATCTTGGTCTCTCAAGAAACCCAACATGGACGTTTTACCATGGATTTGACATTCCCACGTCTGGTTGCAGCTTCTTAGTCACTGAACTAAGCTGCAGCCGTCAAGCTTGGGTTGAGTGCTGGTTGGGATGGGAGTTTGGAACACCTGCAGTTGCCAAAAATATCGTTGTGGTGAGTTGGTTCAGAAGTATGACCGGATAGAATTTACACTTAGTCACTTGGATTGGTGTTCTATCCGACAACTGGGAGCTTCGCCTTGTCATGTCAAAACCATCAGAACGTTGAAGGATCATTCAAGACCCCGCTGGTTCGCGTCTGTGAGGCTTCCGTGAAATCAATGGAACAACCGCTACTAATGGCATCTGCTAGTGAAGGGCTGAGTGGATGGATAGATGGGTGTTTTACTGGATGAACCTTTGGGTGTTTTACTTTGCAGTATCAAAGCTCGTTTGTTGGTTCATATATATATATATATTATTATTATTATATGTTAAATATATATACAAATATATTTTTTATTACAATATATATATATATGCTGTGTGTATATATATATATTATGTGTGTGTGTGTCCACGCCTGTCTCTAAGGTTTTCACGTTTTTATTCTGCAGGGGTGGCTGAAAGCCAAAAGGACCTTGAGTCTTTGACTGGCGAAGTCAGCGAAATGGAGAAGCAAGTTCAGCTTGCAGGTGAATCTAGAAAGAAGGAAAATGACAAGTTTTCACGTCTTTATTTTGCAGGGGGCGCAAGAACCTTTGGTGCGTCTTGCGCCAACGAAGACACTCACCATTGGTTGTGTAAACGTACCTGCAGGCACGCCATGGGCACCGTCGTGTGCAGCTTGGGTGTCAACACAAACATCAATTTTTAACCCGGTAAGCTTAGCTCACAGACTAGGCGATGCCTTTGCTGCCATTACAAATGGACAACAGACACTAAAGAACGAAATGTCAAACATGACTTCTCAAGTGTGTTCTCGGCGGGGAGATCTGTCACAGTCCCGTCGTGATCCTGGGATTCCAGGCCTCTTGAAAGTTCCTATTTGAAACCAGTATTTGAAACGCCATGTCTATGGCTCAAGAAAATGACATAGCCGGTGCTCCGGCTTGGAGACATTTCATGTGTTAGAACCCTGGTTTCGGACAGTCCTTCCGAAGTTTACTTCATTGCTTTGAGATGAAACCAGCACTTGAAACCTGCATTTGAATTTCGAACTTGCTGAAACATGATCCTTGGATCATATGAAACGACCAAGTTCCTGGATGTGTCTCTGTGTGCCATTTGGCTCAAGCAAAAGTTTGCTCTGCAGTTTCCTGGCTTCGTGCCTTCGTGTGTGTGTCCACGCCTGTCTCTAAGGTTTTCACGTTTTTATTCTGCAGGGGTGGCTGAAAGCCAAAAGGACCTTGAGTCTTTGACTGGCGAAGTCAGCGAAATGGAGAAGCAAGTTCAGCTTGCAGGTGAATCTAGAAAGAAGGAAAATGACAAGTTTTCACGTTTTTATTTTGCAGGGGGCGCAAGAACCTTTGGTGCGTCTTGCGCCAACGAAGACACTCACCATTGGTTGTGTAAACGTACCTGCAGGCACGCCATGGGCACCGTCGTGTGCAGCTTGGGTGCCAACACAAACATCATTTTTTTTAACCCGGTAAGCTTAGCTCACAGACTAAGCGATGCCTTTGCTACCATCACAAATGGACAACAGACACTAAAGAACGAAATGTCAAACATGACTTCTCAAGTGTGTCTGTGTTCCTGTGTGTGTGTGTATGTTGTATGTTCAACCATATTTGGGATAATGATCCCAATGAATATTTTTCAGAGGGGTTCAAACCACCAACCGGAAAACAAAGTGGAACCCCTGCAAAATCAAGCGTTGCGATAATGTCTCATCGGATTGCACTGAGGATGACTGCAGTATATACCTAACATATCCTGACATATTAGTATCATATATCCCGCTAGCAAGCGACTATGGCACTATGGCACTATCCACGTACACCGAGGGCCCAAGGGGAAATGCCACTAATTAGATGGGACATAGGAGTTAGTTAGCTGGTTAATAAGTGTGTTACAGTTATACATCCCCTTTGTGTCTGTGTTGTTTTGAATTATTCAGTTCCCTCAGTTCTTGACCTCACAAACTCAGTGGCCCCATTTGTCGATTTTTGTCGAGCTTCAACAAAGCTCGGGACTGGGTGAGGTGAGGCGGATGAAGAGGAGAAGGACATGGAGCAGAAGTTGAGGATTGTTGTCCGGAGACCCGGGCTGATGTCTCGATGATACGAAAGCTAGGTCTGGGCAAGGGCCCTTGACATGAGAACGCTAAGTTGGTTTGTGACGAGAACGCTACTGCGATTTCTGGTTACCATATATCTATTCAATATCCTGTCCTGTTCTATCCTATCCTATCCATATATATATATATATAGTTAGATGATGTTAGATTGGGGTAGAACCGGGTAGAACCCAACTTGAATTTATTTTACACGGGGGGCGTTTTGGGCCAGGTTGACTCAACCAGCGATGTTTCCGGGCTCCACCGTTGGTTTTCAACATCCGGAAAGCTCCGGGGATCTAAGATCCAGCAATTTAACTGGCAGAGCCAAGCATGGAAAAGAACACCAAAAAACTCATGAATTGGGATAGTGAACACAAAAACTGCATGGATATACTATGATTAATACAATATGGATCTATATGGAGTATGATTCTGATTCAACCAGCGATTCAATTGAGATTCATATTGGGAATTCACTACTAAACCTATTAGGGATCATTACTGAGATGAAAGCTGAATGTATCATTGGGATACCTATGACACCTGGGAACTGGTTTCGCAGGAACGCCAATGATACACCATCTTCTTCAATTCACGATTTGGATCCGTTTGGGGACTAGTATGTAGATCGTCCCAACTAACAAATATGACTATACATGAATATACATTGAATAAATATATACAGTATGTATATATATATATATGTATGAGGTTGGGTATATATATATATGTATATATTTATGTGTAGTATACTATGTATGTACATATCAACAGAACATTGAACCACCAATCGGCTTTACATCATGGATGCCTAGGTGCCTCATCGGCAAGCCATGAAGATTCCCATGAACGTCTTCTGGAGGCGCGGCTGCCTCCAGTGTTTGTTTCTCAAAGCCCCGTAACTGTAGAGATACCCTCTGGTAAACATACAAAAAACTATGGAAAATCACCATGTTTAATGGGTAAATCATCTATTTCTATGGCCATTTTCAATAGCTATGGTTGCATACCAGAGGGTATTTGCCATAAACTGTAGAGAATATATGATATTTGCCATAAATCTATAGTGAACCTAGTGAACTAGACAAAAAAAGCACCTAACTTGGCCATGGTTTGGCATTTGGGGGCACCACCTTTGTGGCAAGAAAAACGGCAATGCTATATTTGTTTGTGGATTCCGCAGCTTTTCAGGCAGGTCTCAAGCTTTTTCCACCAGGCCGATGGTAAAGTTTCCCATGTGCTCCATGTGGGTCTTGTTTACTATAGCCTATAGCATTTGACCCTGGGACCCTGACATGAAGCAAAAGGAGTACGCATCATATATATATATATATATAAATATAAATACATGAACATCATGAAAGATGTGAATTATGATGATAATGTATAGACCATACTGTAGGACCTAAAGGCTCTTTGTTCCCACCAACTCGTGCACTCGTGCCATGCTGGACATGCTGGACGACGCCAGAATTTGCGGTGACTCAGCGGTGCCGGAATCCCACCCATAAAGACGGTGATTGTTTTGGGCTGGTTTATTGTGTTTATTTGTTGGGTTTACCACATTATTCTAAATGGTGTTTATAGATGTTTATAGTGTATACTAACAATCCATTATTGGTAGCAAACCCAATTGTTTATTGGTAATATTTATCCAGTTCTATTACTTGTGCTCTGTTAACTATCCAGGCTATACTAAGCCAGATGTGTGGTTTACTGCCAAGCTAGTGATATATACCATTATATACCTAATTTACAGGAACCAACATATACTATAGAGTACCTTTGTATGTTAACCAACTATCTAGGGGATTTTGGGCAGGGTATCCGGGTAGATTGGCCGTTCGGTCCCTTGTCCAGCTTTGATCGATGGTACATTTCGATCATCGGAGACCAGTGAAAAAAAAAACGATATCAGTGACATCCTTTTGCCCACGGAAGGACCAACAAAGAACACACATGGTCTTCTATTATAGGTATTTTAAGGGAGTTACCCTCTGGTAAACATACAAAAAACTATGGAAAATCACCATGCTATCAATGGGTAAATCCACTATTTCTATGGCAATTTTCCATAGCTATGTTAAATTACCAAAGGGTATATTGTACATTGGTTTTTGGAACTTTTGGTCTTGAGGTATCTGATTCTCGATTCAATATTGGGATTACCCTGAACCATGAATCTAACTAAATACAGGCAAATGATTGCAGCGATGTACATGAGATGACCAGTGCATTTTCATACATGATACATACATTTTATGTGTAACAAAAGTCCTGCAATTTGACTGGGAGGCATTGAGCTAGGCCGGAATCTGCATATTCTTTTGTGAAACTAATTTTGCACAAAGTTAAGTGTACGTGTGAGTCGCCGGAGGATGCTAGACTTAATCATACTGATAGGACTCCATTTAGTGGCCTCATATGTTCCTCTCAGTTGACTGTTGCTCAACTACCAGCATCCGACCCAAGCTTCCCATGTTTGGGCAGTCGTCACCTTGCACGCAGACCCAAGAAAGAAACTAAGAGGCTTGGTCTGACACCTGAATGCACAAGTTAAATCTTTATGATTCTTTCTGGTTTTATCCATGCTGGTACCACCCCAGAGGGGCCACACCAGCGCAGCGGGTGCGAGGTTTCTTGCTCACGATTGCGAAGGGCTTTCTTCCCTGCACCTTGGCCATTGCCCGGATAGGACTTGGCAGGAAGGGCTTCCCTCAATGACGCAACGGCGGGCGGTGCCCCAGTTTTAGGAAATGCTAAGTTTGTAAACATAACATTAGTGGTTATAGCCTAGCTATAGTATGCTGCTATAGTTAGATTGTTTATGTTTATATATATATATACATATTTATTTATTTATTTATTTATTTATTTATTTATATTGATTCGTCACCTTATAACTAGGGGACGCCAGCTAGCACACCTTGGGCTTCTTCTCCAAAACCATCTCCGCACCTCAGCTACTCAGAGATGGGTTTGCAAAGTGAGGTCAAAGAGACGTTGCGGAGGATGGGTTAGAATGATTTAGAATGGATGTCCCAGTGGTTTCTAGATTGTTTTAAATGAATTTTCCTAATTTTTGGTGTCAAGTTACTAGTTGTCATGTCCGATGGTCGGATGTCAGCCCTGTATTTGGTGTATTTGACAGCATTTGACCTGTGTCTACTGAAATTTGACACGGAACTACAAAAGCCAGCAAACCTGCAGGCCAGTTTTCAGGACTGGAAAATGTCATCACTACATCATACACATGATTTCCAGTGCGTCCTACATGTCTTTTTTGGTTTGCTCCCCAGTAGGCTATTGAACTGGTCGATTTTTTCACTCTTTTAAACATGCTGGTCTTACATGGGCTATGTTAAATCACATGGGTCAAAATACCGTCAATCGTCAACATGTGTTAAAGATCAACGGCCCATTTGTGTTTAAATGAGGTTTTCAAACCAAAAGAAAGCACCAGCAAGGCACAGCACCAGGTGGTGCCCCCCAGTGATGCTTGCTGGTTTATCCATGTTTATCCCATGATCTAGTTTGACATATTTACCATAAACCAGAGTATAACCATAGTTAATTCACCATTCATGAACTCATGAACTAAAGACCTAAACCAACCCAAAGCGATTCCGACCAAGGCAGCTCAGCTGGTCATTTGACGAACAGCTGCAGGGAGCTGCTCGAGTTGAAGGCTGAGGATACCTTGTGGCGCCAATGTGCCGCGGAGCATCCCTGGGGGATGTGGATCCTACCTGCCATGGTAAAGTGACCGCATTTTCAATTGGTAAATCACCAAGGTTTCATAGGTAAATCAACTATTACTGGCCATGTTCATAATAACTACTGAGTAACTACTGGTATGTTAAATTGCCGGAGGGTATATGTACCATGGTCAAAATCTATGGGTTTTCTATATGGTTTTCTTCTAAAAAGGGATGCTTAGCCAACCAGAGTGCTTGGTGTTCGCATTCTCGCCCCTGCCTTTGGCAGTAACACTCGACGAGATGGCGATGGATAGAGAGAGAGAGAGAGAATATATATATATTATATATATATACCTGATATACCCATGAGAAGGATTTCCATTGTGGGAGGGGAAATGGACTTTTCTGTGACCCAGAACATGGTGAAGTACATGAATTTAACCAGCAAAAACATGGAGATTTGATGGGGCATCAACGGGGATATAGTGGGATATATAGCCACTTATATCCGGTTCAGCCACCGGTTAGTTGGTTGGTTGCAGGGTTTTGAACGGCAAATGAGTGGCAAACAGCATCAAGCTAACCCCTCCTTGTTCCCCCAAAGAATATAATATATATAATGTGGATAAAACAATAATGAAGCATCCCCAATTTCATGATAAATAGGTGGTATAAACCATTCCCAAATGGGTGGTTTATTTTCGTTTTAACCGCATTATAGATGGTATGAATAGATGCTCCTGCATATATGGGTTCTGGTGTCACGACTCTAAGCTACAGCCGTCCATGAGCCAGGCTATTTGCAGCAATATCCAGAGCGCTCGTGCAAGGCAACTTGATGACTTGGCTGTCGTTGTAATGAGGATGAGAATGGCCCAAGCACCAGCCGGATCACAATTTTCCATACTGTCTCAGCAGATCAGTATGAGCACATATGTTAGGGCTTTGAGTATTGAGGGTGCAAAAACCGGGAAAATCAAGGATGGCAACTGAAAATATAAGCGACAGACAGAAGCGACACATGATTTGCCCACGTCCCATCGGTTGAAAGCAATTCTCTAAGGATTTCACATTGCCAGGTCGGAGTAGCAATGCCAATTCTCCGCTACATCTCGTTTCTTTTGATGCATATGAAACTTACTCATCCACAGGACGTGAAATCCCAATGTTTGCAGCTCCACATTGCGATGTGAAAATGTTGCTTAGATTTTGGCGTTCCACTTATCGCGGTGGTCTCTCGTGATTTTATCATCCCGGGGGCGAAATAACCTTATTTTCCATGTTTCAGTCTGTATTACAGGAATAATCATCCAGTTTTTGTTGATTATTCCTGAATGTAATTGTATCAACGTGGTTGAACCCCTATTCTGTAATTATTTAGTTTTCAGTCTACAATTGCAAACAAAACATCTATGGACACCATAACCGGCTCATCATATTGCATGGCTTTCTCCCTACGGCGCCTTCTCTTTGTCGGTTCTTCCTGCTCTCCCAGGTGGCCTTATCTTGGCGATGTCGCTTGGCGATGCGCCAGCCGCTGAGAGAGCTACGTTTGGAGGGTCTCTTGCCATTTTGTTTGCGAGAACAGTTGAGAAAAATATGTGGAAGATCTGGGAAACTGTTGAAAAAATCAGCGAAACTCCCAGTGTCAACTGGGTTAGTTGAAGGGAACACTTACGCGTGAACCCATTGTTCTTCCTGGTACTATAGTTGTTGGGGCTTCCTGCAAAATCTCCCTTCATCCAAGTCTGGGATAAATAAACCATTCCCATCCATTCTACATGGAAGGGGTTCATGAAATCAGCATCACCCAAACGCCGTATACTTTATCTTATTCATGTCTGTGAATTTTATATATCAATCATACTACCAATATTGTACACACACACATATATATATATATACACATAGAGGGACAAAGTACATGTACTGAATGACAAAGAAATCAGTAGACATAGGCTGAAGTAGACTTACCCAGAACATCCAGAAAACCAATGAAAACCCAGGCACCGAGGCAGTTCTGGACTGGGAAGCTGCGCTGCTTGTGCTGGGCAGCCCATGGAGTGGCAAGACGTGGCTGGTGCATCGCTTCTGCCAGGGCAAGCCACCGGAATGCCTGGATAAGGCGCGGCTTAGGGGTGGGTTTTGTTCATGTCTTTCCCTGTGAAAGTTGAGAAAAGTTTGAGGAGAATTCAATAAAATGCAAGGGATTTTTCTGCGTGTGCAATAATATGTGCACACATAGATGGCGATGGAGCGAGAGGGAGAGAGATTATACAATACACATAGGTGGATATTCCCAATTCAGAAACGGTGGAGGTGCCATAAGATTGCAAGATGTGATGAATGCAGCCTAGTTGATGAGTGGAGGGTGTCTTTGGAAAATGATAAGACACGATAAGACAGAGGGAATTTAACTAGCAACAAGCAGACACACCCAGATGTAGCACAAAGGAGGCTGTCATAGTATCCTGTATCTTCCACTATATACCACTATAAAAAGGATAGGATTGCATGGTGTGACGATGATGCCGAGCCATTGTACAGTAGTTCACATGCCAAGGCCAGTAGGAACCGGTAGCGGGCCAAGGCTTAGACTACTCTGACATTTCTTTTACTGTAGTTGTTGTTAATCTTGCTGAATCAGAGGAAACAGACCAAGGGAAAACTAGTCCACTCAATCTCTGGGGGTTGTCTCACTTTACCCCACTTATTCACCAATTCCTGAAACTTGTTACCTCTTATTTCTTAACCTTCGTCAACGAGTCACACCAAACTTATTCTCCTAGTCTTCATTCAGTTGGATTTGCAAATGCAAAAGGGTTGGATATTATGATTCCATACGTGTATATATATTATATATATATATATGTATATCCATGGTATGACTGACAAGGTTCTTCCCCATTTATGCTATCCTTTTTTATGTGTCCATACTATTTATCTCTGATGTATTCTCAGATTTCACCATTTGCCATCCTATATACATTTATCTATATTCACAGATTTGCCAACATCAATATTTATATCTAGCATTAAATTACACATATATATATAATTATACACACTACATATAGACACCATATATTATGCTGGTTGGTGGTTTGGAACATTTTTTATTTTTCCATAGATTAGGAATGTCATCATCCCAACTGACTATTTTTGTTTCAAAGGGGTAGATCAACCACCAACCAGTATATATATATATATATATTTTTTAAAAATGCTATATGGATACACTAATGATCTTCTCAGTTGGATCATGCTGAGGTCCCTTTCCTGGGCACCAACCTGCGCGTGAGCCATCTCCAGTTGCGCGGACCCCGACCACGAACGGGGCGGCTGCGCATTTGGGAGCCTTCGGGGGTGAGCCGGCAGGCACAAGGGGATACCTTGAGGGATCTGTAGGGAAATCCATAGGGGTTCTGTAGGATTTGTATGGAGTTGATGGGAAATTGATGGTTGACTTACCCTCTGGTAAACAAACATAGCTATTGAACATGGCCATTTATAGAGGATTTCCCATTAAAAATTGTGATTTTCCATAGTTATGTTAGTTTATCAGAGGGTATGGTCTTTATAGGAGTGTCATGGTTTATTTGGGGTATCGTAATTTCGCAAACAGTCTGACCCTGAGCATCGACCAGTCTGGAAGGGTGCTAGTTGGGTGGCAAGGCAATGTGGTACAGATCTAGCTATTGGCAGATTAGATTGTTTTAATATGTTTCGGCAATAGTAGCTATTGAAGAATTGTGGTGGTGCATTACGCTCACACAGTGTGACTCACACAGTAAACACAAAGAATATGGACAATCCACCGTGTATGAAGGAAACGGAACTACATGTTTGGTGCATATCTATGTGAACACTCACTGAAGTGCATAATACGACAATAAAAAAAAACTGGTTTGATGCTCAAATTATCTAATTATTATCTGGATCAATGATTTTGCGGATGGTTTGAATTCATATTTTTGTAACATTGAGGATGATTAAAACAACAGATGACGGATGACGGATGACGGTCGTCCTTTGGCATGATGGATGTTTCGGCTGGCGGTTTAAAAGTTGTTTTTTGAACTTAATAATCTTATGATCCTGTAAATTAGATACATTTTCCATATTTTGTCAGATTGATTATCATGTTCAAACAGTGTTACCAGATTTTTGTTCGTATCTACATGTGCATTATATGTTCAATCCTTTGTATCGGGATGATGACCCCAATGGTTTTGTGCACATTGTTTTTGTTGATGGTTTGAAGACATCCCAATGTGATCTGCCAGGGAAAGGGCTGTGTCAGCAAAGTTCCGGGGCTGTCTATTGAATCCCCAAGGATCTAAAGGAAGTGGGTGAGCGGGTTGTGAGAATCATACCCAAAATGGATGTTTATGGCATGGGGTTTACCGCTGTCACATCGATATGCTTCTTTATGCTATTATTGATGTCGTTGCTTCATAGTGAAAACCTTCCTTTTCTCTGGAGCTAAGATGCTAAATGACTTGAAATGAGACCAACATGGATCTTCGCAGCGTTGCTTTGAACCATTTTGAACCTCTCCGCCTTTTTTTGCCCCCCAGTCCATTTTGTCTGTTGGATCCCTTGTTGCGAATGGATCAACAAATGAAGGGACCCACATATTCCCATTGACTGTGCCTGATAGCTAGCTAGATGGATACTAGTAGGTAGATATATACATAGACAGATAGATAGCAACATACAGATAGAAAAAGCACATGTTGATTGTATAGAGACTAAATTAGGTACTATATATATATATATTCAAATATAAATCCTAGCTGGTGGTTTCAAACATGTTTTATGTTCCATTTCATATATAGGATGTCATCCTTCCGATTGACGAACTTATATTTTTTCAAGATGGTTATTGCACCACCAAGCAGCAGTTCATTGGCATTAATGATCACTATGAAATCACCAAATTTATCATCCATTAATGATCAATAATCTGCTTGATCATTAATATTAATCATTATTACATAGTTACCATCATCCATAGAATATATATATATATATATATTTAAATATAAATCCATCATTTTTAATGCATACAGCCCAATGTTGCAGGCCTTGGGCGGCTACCTAAAGGCGGCTCAGATGGTCCTGGTCTGCGTGGACCTGGAAGACCTCGGAGGCGTCGCGTCCGAGGCGCAGCGGCTGCTGGCCCAAGTCACGCAGGCAGGGAATGTTTTAAGCAGGGAACATGATAAAACATCAATATACATATTAAATATATATATATATACATATGTATGCATCATAATATACTTGATATAATACACTATATATACATCTGTACAATATATATATATATACATATGATTATAAATGTATCATATTATATGTTTAATTATATTATAATACATTTTATTGAATTTTATTTTATGCTTTTATATTACTTTCTGTTTTTTTAAATATAAGATATATATATATATACAATATACGTACCACATAAAAAAAAATATATATATATATACATCTTATATATAAGATACACACATATACATATATGTACAATATATATATATATACATATACTATATATACATATACTATATATATATATATATATATTATTTTTAAAGTTTATTGTATTATACTGTATTATTTTACATTATATATTACATTATATTTTATTTTCTTATATTATATTAATTATGTATATAATATATATATATATATTTATATATGCGGTATGATACGATAGTTATATGAATATATAGAGAGAAGTTGGTTTATAAGCCTCATGAACTATAGTGATATATACCAAAGACCCTAGTTAGCCTAGTTAAAAGTCACCTACCAGGCATATGTTATCAGGGAATGATTCTAATCCCGTCCCCCTCATGTCAAACATCCCCAGAAACCATGGTTGAATAGGGGGATGAAACCACATATGTGGGACCATACAATGAGGGTGTGTCATATTAGGAGGATGGGACTATTTGAGATTTTACCACCAGAAATTGGTATAATCCAACTGGTGATAGGTAACGTGGTCCTTTTTCATGTTCTTTTTGCACTTGTGTGTGTTCTTGTAGTGGACCTAAACAACAAACATTGTAGATTTTAGTGGGTTTTACCAGCGCAATTATTTTCAACAAGCAATAGTAAGCACATGTGGTTTTACCAGCAAAAAATGTGGGCATAGATATATAACTAGCATTTTACTGGATTTAACATGTTTTTGGCGGAACAAATATATTTTAGAATTTTAAAAGGCCAAAACGGTCTTTCAACAAGCTAAAATTGGGAACTATGTGATTCCAATGGATTTATTCAATGGCCATGTTATGCTTGAAATCATGATTTACCATCAGAGAAGCACCGGAGATATCAGGAGATTATAGCTCTAGTTTTCCCTCAAACTAAAAAACGTGGTTGAAACTGCGTGGTTCCTATAAAAACACCAAATATCTAGGGAAAACATGTCACAATGAAACCTGAAACCCTATGAATGTGGTGTATCATAGACATACCGTCCGGTAATCAAATGTGGCAGTGAAAAATCCCCCGTTCCAGAAATCGTCCATTGAAAGCTCCATTTGCTGCAGGGATTTCCCACCCAGCCATGGCAATGATTCTCACAAAATCCACGCCCTCTTCCTGGTTACCCTCTGGTAAACTAACATAGTTAATTGAACATGGCCATAGAAAGTTCGTTGATTTAGCCATGAAAAATGGTGATGTTCCATCGTTTTTTGTATGTTTACCAGTGGGTAAACTGCTATGTTCACCATTTTTTCCATTCGTTTCACCAACCTTGGGCTTTGGGCCGTTTCCAGTCCATGCGACCTGGGACCATCTTGGGTCTCTGTGGCTTGAAGAGCGTAGCTTGGTGGTTTCAGCTGGTGAAGTCTCAATGGTTTATGGATGTTGATGGTAGATCTAATAAACAGAAGATTACCCTGTGGTAAATAAACATAGACCCTGACAATCACCAATTTTTTAATGGAAACTAGTCTTCCAACCCCTATCTGCCAGGGTCTATGTTAATTTACCAGAAGTTAATAGTTATTGATGGTGGATGGCTGATACATTGATACATTAAATCTAATAAAGGTTATTGAACAATAATACGTTTATAATCCTTCCCCTTATTATTAAGCACCCCCTTAGAAACCATGCCTTAGTAGGGAAATTCCACCATTTATGGGAGGTTTAATATTAGGGTGGTGGGATTAAAAAGGTTTCTACTGGTTGATAGTTTATCTAATATGAGGATACTAGTTGTTGATGGATGTTGATGGTAGATATATGGAGGTTTCCTGAAATGGGGATACCCCCAGTTATCATCCGATTTGATAGGGGTTTCCATGAAATAAACCATCCAGCTATTGGGGTACCCCCATTTTAGGAAACCCCTATATAGTGATATATCTAAGGTGTCTAATATTTCTAAGCTTTCAGTGGATCTAGTGGGGGGTTTGGACACCAACTTACAACTGGGGACCGCCACCGAGTTTATATATATTAATATATATATATATATATAATAGCTAAATGTGAGATATCCCATAGCATTTCTGAATAATACTACAACTGGCCATTTGGTTTGTAGCTACTTGTGGATGCATCCCAGTGTGTGGTATGTCGTTGGCCACAAACGCGAGATGTTACCAATCAATTCAGACATGACCGTGGAACACATATGAGTAAACAAGGGTATCACTACGCATACAGCACCTAGTGGGGTCACGACGTCATTTGGTGGGCTGCTGAAACATGCTGTCTTGGGTAAGTTGTTTCAGGACTGAAGTCACAAACTACAAATAATCATCCAATATCAAATATGTTTCTTCCATTGAAGTAGTGTATCATAGTGACCACCAGATTTAAAAATCTTTCTATGCCTCTATCTGCGAGTTTGGATGGGCCTCGGGTACTAACAGAACATGCACCGCTAGGAAGTTTGGTTTCGATGCATCATGATTTCAACCCTACCCAGCAATGAAGAAATATGCCAAACCCCTATGAAGAGTGCCCTTTAATAGGGTACTAAAGGAAGGCTTTGCACACACACACATTATATATATATGCGTATATACTGGGTCGATGTTGTAACAAGTGCCGATGACAAGATCTTGTGCAAAATCGTGGTGTGCCTGTGGGGAAAGGCCCACATGGGCAGCGCCTATGACTTCAACTTACTGATGTATTTTTTGGCACTTCGCAGAGGCACACGATGCTTACCTGTCATATCTTTGTGAGTTTACCCACTATACTCCAAAAGATGAAAGCCGTGGCAATTGTATACTTTTCCTGGATTTAGGTTGGCAGACAAATTTTAGGAAGTCGTTGCAGTCTGGCGTTTAGGTTGTGACTTGTGAAATTTGAAATTTGTAACACGTTTAATACGTAAAAAATGTGTTTGAGTTTTGTTTTGCTTCAGTTTGGGGCTCAAATATAGACAATGCGAACATAGGTCATCCTGACCTGCTGCCCCATGCCTGGTGGTTCCTTTGCCCATGGTTTTGCTTTCTCTCTCCCAGACAGTTTTAGCATTTAGATATCTTTGGCTATCACGGTTCCTACGTCTCAAACAGTCTGTGCCAAGCTTGTGTACCTTTGTCTCCCTTCTGTCTCCCTTACTCGCCCTTTGTCTCCTCTTCTGTCTCCATGCTCTTGCCTGCAGCTGCTGCTTGGCTTGGTTTCCTCTTCCGATCCACCACTGCATGCTCTTGAGTTTTACTGTTCTGAAAAGAATGCGAAAGTGTGTGGCTACCAAAGAGTTTGTCAGGAGACTTAGGGGGTCAATCTCCCAAAATTTGATTTCGGACCTCGTTCGGACCTCGTTCGCACCTCGTTCGGACCTCGTTTAAACTGCAGCCAGTCAAAACCCAGCCCGGAGAGGTTTTGGAAAGGCTTTGCAATGGTCTGCTGCAATGGTCTGCTGCAATGGTCTGCTGCAATAGGAATATCACCTGGCGGAAGATTATTGATGTCTGGCGGTCTGGCGTAAGCGGTGTGCCATGTGGCTGGCGCAAGTTCTAGCATTTGTGCGTAGGATCACGCCGGGGCTCATATATATATAATTTACTTACTTATATATATATATAGATATTTATTTATAACTATATATATATTCACATGATGTCCATAGATGGTTTCTTCATTCTTTCCAGGTACATCAAAACCAGGTCTGCGCATATGTATATATACACACATTTTTTTGTGGCATGCATATACCATATATTTGCATTGAAACAGCTGCTTTGGATCCCCCAAGGACCGACTAACCACTTCCGAGCAGCGGCGCATCTGCGCCACGCTGCGACGTGTGGCGCAGGGCTATGGGGCGGAGTTTGGCATGTGCAGCGCTACGTGGGGAATCCTGGGGCTGGCAGATATTTGGATCATTCCAGGTTAATCCATTTTAATACCCTGATGTTATGGTGGATCAAATGGATCGATATATATCAACATGATCAACCATCAAAAATGGAGGGTTAACAAAAGTTCACCCTCTTGAAATGGTTATGTAAAGCAATATGGCCAGTATGCCAACTACAATATTAGTAAAATACGTTCCAACGTGCCCCCCAAGCTTTGACTAGATCCAATACTAAACAAGGGGGTTTGTTTGGTAAGTAAACTATGATATTGTTAAATCCGCAGTGATATAGAATAAGAGGATACAATGGGATATAGAGCCGACTTAGTAGCTCAGTAAGATTGGAAAATCCCAGGCATCGGGGACTTATGACCAGGGTTACTGACTTCCAGTCGTAGCATGAGATGCCTAAAGCCCTATGGAATTCTCAAATATTCTTAATTTGGGTAAGGCTCCAGATATAGGACCCGCAGTTTCTGCGGGTCCATTTTTGGTATCATCCCATTTCTGGGAACCCGTATCAGAATGTCTCGAACTTCGGGCATGAAGCCGGGTGTTTGCCATTTTGGGACTTTCCTATGTGTGTGTGTAAATAAATAATAGATAAATATACAGCATATATATACATATTATAGATAAGTAAATTTGATATGTTGCTGTAATAGATAAAAATGCTGCTTCAACTTGCCCTCATCCTTGACTGTTCCCTCAATTTTATGGTTTTGCAGGGAGAAAAAACGGCGAAACCTTGGATGAATATCCTGAACCCTGTGGAAAACGATGATTTTCCCAGCGAACTAAACCTCCATTGATAGGGGAAAAACAGCAAGTCCCATAATTCCATGATTTCCCCATGTTAATCTTACTGGTGCTTAGTAGGGATTGGATGGGAATGGGGGTTGCTGGGATTATTATTGATATATTGTGGATCATTCCCTCATTCCCTACTAAGCACAAGTAAGTAATTCCATATTGTCCCATCATTTCCCGATGATTTTCCGATCTACATGGTCCAGATATTCTTCCTCTATCAGCCATGACCCCTCCAGGACAGGTGAGGGCGTGGATGAAATCTTTTGCGCCATGCTGGCTGCCTGCCTTGAGCCTTGATGGCAGCGGGGGAAAGGAGGAAGACGCGAACGCCGCGTAGACCCCTTCCATGGCTGTTTTCATAGTCCTGGGGGATACTCAAAATGATTGGTTTATAATGGAAAATCATATTAAGATGCATGATTTAGGGGTACCCCCAATTCAGGAAACTTCCAAATGTATATACAAGTACCCTGTGTTCGTTGGGAACATGAGCATTCAGCACTGGAGAGATACCTGACACAGGTGTTGCAGGTGGATTTTGTTGGTGGGGTACTTGTGATTGTTGTTAAACTATATATATATATACATATTTGTTCGATGTTCTTCGAAAATGATTGTCCTCACTGGCTGTCTTCACCATAAACGGTTCTATTTTTTCAGATAGTCATCCCAAGGATTAGCAGCATGTCAGGTTTGTGAAATGGTTAATTTGTTTTAAACAATATATATATATATAATATTTTAATTTTCTATAATACATAAATAAATATAAAAATATATATAAAGTAACAGTAACAATAATAGCGCCAAATAAAACAAGGTAGACCCCGAAAATTTGGAAGTCAGGGCCTCCCAGTCCCAGGAGAGTTCCAACGAGTTGCCGCCACCAGACACTCAGCTGTTGGTCGTTCCTTCGAACACGGCAACTGTTTGTTGGCTACCCATTCGAACTTTGGTCTAGCTATCAATAAAACTAGCAAAATTCTTAGTGAAATATTAGTTTGGGTGGAGCGGTTGTTTTTTTCGCTCGCCCTTAGCTTAGCTGAACTCTTCGAGAAGGCGATGGAGGGAGGGAGAGAGAGAGAGAGAGATACTATAGACCAATGTTGCTTACCATGGGTGATATGCAATTACTTTCATTGTGCTGGAAACCCTACAAATCGCAGAAAAATTGTAGTACTGTAGCAGTCAAGCTTCATTATTTAATGATTAAACCAAAAGGGATTACAATCCCACTTCAGCACAGCTCAAAGCCAGGGGTGGTTGATGTTGATATGGGATTATATACCAATGGGTTCAATCAGAATGGGAATCTATCACAGCCAACCAATAGAGGGCGGGATCAAACATGGACAGAAGAAATGTCAGGGATCTTGTTTTACCATGCCAAATCTGTGTGTCTTAGTTCCCATGTTCATCCCACTTGTTGCTGATGAACTCCATTTTCCTTGGTATGATCTATGTTCGTTGTTCAATATATCACCATGTTTGTTCGTCGAACATGTTCGCGAAGAGTTTCCTTAGCAGAAACCTCTTTCGTTAAGCAGCCCGTGTTTGTTGGAAACATCTCCCTTCTTAAATCCTTGTGGCAACATACAGCGGGCTGCCTGACAAATCTTAACACAAGATGAAACGAACCCAATGAAAAAGTCCATCTCAGAGAAAACATGCGAAACTGCCCACAGCTCACAGTTTTAAATTCACGAATGCCCAATTGACATCCCAATTTTTGTTGACCAAAAACCATGGCCACAGGAACGTGTTTTAAGCCGCCTCGCCGGGACCTTGAGCAACGCTGAACTGTTGCGGACCTTGTTGCGACGTGTCGGTCACGGCGGTATGGGTATGGCAGAAACCTGAAACCTTTGTGGTTTCACCAGAAAACATGGGGATTTAACAAGCACCAATAGTGGTACCCTCTGATCATTTAACAGTTCGCCATGGAAAATTCCACCATTTTTAAGAACGGTAAATCATCTATTTCGATTAGGGCCATCTATACCATGGCTATGATAAATAGCCAGAGGCTGCCAGAGGATACAATGACACTAAACATGTTGAGAGTAGTAAATTCGGATCACAGGGAACTAGAAATCAGTCTCAGCCATCACCTCCTGTTCAGCATGCGGCTGGGCGAGTACAGCATGTCTTGCTTAATGGTTCCGCGCAAAAAATCATGCAGTGTTGTTTGCACAGTTGTGAGGAATGCAGTGGATGGTTTCAAGGTTTGTTTCTATTGGGCATCATGCTTAGACACTTGATTTTAGATGTGAGGATATATAATAATATAATATAAACCAAAAGAGTGTGAATTGTAAAGGCTCTGGGCAGGATGTGAATATATAGCAAAGACCATGGGCAATAGGAAATTTAAGGTGGCAAGTTGCCTTTTGCTCCTACGCCTACGCTTCATTGCCAGGGGGGTGTTAGAGCACTTTATGGGACACCCAGATTCTGCATGACATCTCATGACCAATTCACAATAGTTCACGAACATTCCACCGTATTCGCATTGATTGGATTATTTTTCCAATTTGGGGTTTGGCCCAGTTTCTTTGCCAATCCCTTTCCTCCAAGATAAATCAGTTTTCCAAACCATACCCTGGTTTAGTAGAGATCTATTCACTTTGTCGACTTTCGTAGAGGGTATTAAATCTGCTTGGTGGTTTTGTTGTAGTTTGTTTATTGTTCAATCCTTTTCCGCAACGGAGTGACGATCCCAAGATTTTTCAGAAAGGTTGCACCGGTCACGAAGCTATCCTGCCAGGTCAGATGGAGAATGGCTTCGCGATCCCTTGCTGTGGTGCCGCTGATGTTTTCCGTGGATTTCTGGTGGCTGGGAACGTTTGGAGAAAGCCAGCGAATTTGGAGAGGTTCCTTCTTCAACCAACCCGTTGACCGGGAGATTTAGCAACCAAGATCGCGGACATGGGAGAGATGTGGGTTTTCAGCGCACAGGATCTAATCCCAAACGAGCAATGTAAGGATTTGACATTTGAAAAACTGCTTTTGGATCAGATCTTGTTTGGACATTTTATACGTGTTTTGGAGGCCATTTGTGGACTCGGCTGGACATTTTGGACCAAACTTTTGTTCCATGTGTTTCCTTATCCCAGTTGGGGGGAAGTGCAAAAGACAGACGGCAAGACATGGCATGGACCCATGACTGATTTAAATAATGGGAGTCATGATGATCAACCATGATATTTTAGGGTAACTGCCCCTGTCACACAAACATGCATGACTAACCAAGATAAGCAGAAATCGGGCTCCTTCATTTGGTCACCCCTACAAACTCAAATTGGTCTACGCCCCAGAAATCTGAGGTATACCAATGACAGCAGGCCCATATTGGAAGACAATTTTCTGCAATGTTGCAGACCTTGATTATAAACTACTGTTCGAAGTGCACATTTTCTAATGTTGGCCTAATTGGAAATTCAATTTTCCTAGTTTCAAAAATTATTTTTCCACCAAAATCTCATTTCAGCCATTGCCAGGTACCGCTTCCTGCCCTTCGAATCGCTCGGTTGTGCCACTGCGCGAGGCTCCAAAAGAGGTTTCAACCAGCCAAATAGGGACGATGGAATTCAATCAGATTTTGACAGGTCTTTAGATTACATACATGTTGTATTAGTATTCATGTGGTTTGAGAATGGATTGGTTGTAGATTTTTTTGCTTTTGCTGCCGTATGTTTCTCCATGTTTCTTTCTACAGACTCAAAGATTTTGGATGATTTCTATCAGGGCCTGGGCCTGGAAGACTGAGAGCCCCACTGGCGGCCACAGGCTTTCGCGGCTTCCGCGCTTTGCTGTTGACCTTGCTCTTCTATGCTGCTGGGCCATGAACTCCATGTCTAGAAAAGACTACGTTCCTACTAAATTAAGTGATATGGGGGTTTCCATAAATGGTGGTAATGCCAACACCGGATTAATAAACCCCCCCCAGAAGGTAGGGGGGGTACCTTCTGACTGGTTTTCTTGACCACCCCAAAAAAATAATAATAAGCAACTCTGAACCATAAAACTTTGGATATGGCTTACGTCAATTAGATCTTAATAGAATCCATTGGATTTGTTAAAATTTCATGGATCAGAAAGGTGGTTGATTAATCAGGGGCAAACCCTGGTTATTATTAATGGGGGACATGGGCTCATGGGGGGTACCCTTTGGGAGCTATCCAAACTGATGATTTTTATAAAGATTTAAATTAGAAATCGATCATTTGGGGAATAGTTGTTTTTTGAAATTTTCAATGATCAACTTAAACCTGAAGTATAACAATGATGATTAAAAAAATGAAAAAAACAATTGGAAATAAATTGAATTGGAAATAAAACATGTTGGATAAACAAATGGATTTCAGCACAGGGGGTTGATTAATCGGGGGTAGGCCAAAGTGTTTATTAATCTGGGGGGACCACCTGTTTTTAAATTACATTTTTTTTGGGGGGCAGTTGCTGTTGATTAATCGGGGGGGCATTATTAATCCTCACTTGACATTACCCCAAAATGGATGGTTTATAGTGCAAAATCCTTCTAAAATGGATGATTTGGGGGTACCCCTATTTTAGGAAACCTCCATATGTAAATTGATTACTGTTCTATTTTTTCCTCGGGGTTGCTACAGGTCAAGATGGTAGATTCAGTAGAGGGAGTGAACTTGTTGACACGACAACTGGTTCCAAATCCAAAAATTACTGTTCAGGAACTGTGATTTGGCCAGGGAACCCAAGAAAATATGTTTATTGATTTACAATGATTTACAGCTTCCCTATTTGCGGATGTACTGGAAATAGATTGACATGCATTTGCTAGTGAATGCCCGGTGTTTTCCTTATCAGCTCTATGTTCTTTGCACTGACTCCTTTATTGAAGTCTTGCTGGTAGAAAACTGGTGATCCTAGATCCGACTTGGCTTTCATATTTTTTGGGGGTGAACCATCAGCCGCCCAGGGTCAAATTGCTCTGACCTCAGCTGTTGTTTTTCTTTTCATGGTGGGAGATGTGAAAAAAGGACAGAGAAAGGGTGATTAGGTCAATATGTGTTGGTGGATTTGGGTAGGTTGGTTTGTCATGTTTGTTGGCCTATCAATTCTGATTTTTCCATGCGCAATTAACCAGAATATGTTGGTAGATTTTGGAGGGGGGTCCAATACATACACACAGAGATACACACATTGAATCACATTGACATACATTTATACGTACACATTGATATTATATACATATATATATATACAAATATTCATGAGATCATAGAAATTTAGCACCATATGTTCAAATATCTACCCTCTGGTCAACTGTCACGTAACTATGGAAAATATTGGAAAATCACCATGTTGAAGTTCGGTAAATCAACGACATCAGTGACCTGGGTGACCTCGGTGACCTTGGTGACCTGGATGTGCAGCCAGACGCTACGCGTTGCGAGGTCGCCATTGTGATTCCAGTGCTGTTAGTCTTCGCCCTGGTCACTTGGCAAGGAAAAAATGGGGATTTAACCAAACAAAACTCTAGATACATCAATCCTGGGTAAATTTGATCACGACCTCACTGATCTCCCGAAGCCTGGAATCATGGTTCTTATAGGGAAATCATCCCCTTTAATGGCCTTAATTCATTCAGGTTAGTGAAATATTATAATTTACCCAGATCAATCCTGGATTTAGCAAATGAAAATTCGGAAAATTTGAAGTTAAAAAAAAACACACGGTGGGGGGGAAGTCTATTAGGAAACCATGGCGGTTGTGATCCCAATTTGCGGATTGGATCAGGATCTCAAATTTTGATCCGATCATTTTTTAAGTCCATTTGCAGGTGTGACAAGTGTGACAAGTGGCGCTGTCTCATTTTTGTTTTTATTCCAAAATCATATTATTGTTTTATGATGTTTTATCGTTTTATCGTTGTTTTATTTTGAAATTACATAAATTACGAATTTGAGGCATCCCACCATTTACAAACGTTTTGGACACGTCTACAGGGTGGTACCTCACCAGTTGCTGTAGATCGGTTGGAAATTGGTTCATCAACTCCATTATATATATATATATATATGAATATGTAGAGAGAGAGAGAGAGAAAGATTATCATGATATGGATTTAGTCTAACACTTGGCTCAAATTTTGCAAAACAACATTACAACTCCGAAGTCGTCAGCTGAGAAAGGTATCAAACACAAGGCCTCACCAACTCCCAAGTCATCAGAACCTACTATAAGCCCCAGTTCGGTTAGATACAAACCAACTTAGCTATCATAAATCAAGTTATAAATCCCCATGTTTGTGGTTAAACCGTTTTCAAATCGTTAAGCCCCATGATATGACGGTGAACAAAAAACATGTTTGATGGTTGAACCCCCCGCGGTCACCCAGGCTGTGTGCCACGACGGTGTGCACGCAACAGTGCGTGCTGACCTTTTGCGACGAGACGCGGGGGAACACTTCTACTTGTCAGGGACCCCCGGTATATCCCGGTGTGTTGGGCGTGAGGTTGACCTTATCAACATTATCAACCGACTATTTGAAGGGAAACATAGGGAAAATCTTCACCGAAAATCATGTGTTTTACCAAAGAAAGGTGTTTCCTAAACCAATCCAATGACTTGAGAATGCTGAATGAATGCCTCAAACAACCGCGACACAACCTGTGTGCTGGTGCCCCATCACTCGCAAAACAAACCCCCTTCAAACCCCAAATGATAAATGTTGAACAAAGTTCGATTATATGTCGGTTTAATTTGTGATATATTGTGGTTATTTATTGCTGGTTAAGCTTCGCCCTTAAAACATAAAGCCAACGATGATTGCAGGGCCAACCCGGAGGCTGTTCCCCCCGCTCCAGGTTAGACTTCATCATGGCACCGTTTGGGATCCCAAGTCGCGACGGGTCTGCGGGATTCTGCGGGATGTGTGGCGCGGACATGTTGAAACATAGGGGCTATGAGGGGATGCAGTTGGGCTTATCTTAGTGGTGCTGAACGCAGGGAATGGATGGGACTGGGGGAATGGGATGATTATTGATAGTTATTGTGGAATATTGTGGATCATTCCCGAAAATTCCCTACGTTTAGCACCAGTAAGTTATTGAATGGCTATGACTATGGGGTTCTAACTTCCATACGTTGGGATATAGCCCCTACAACTAGGATTAAATACCCTCTGGTAAACTAACATAGCTATGGAAAATCACAATTTTCAATGGGTAAATCCACTATAAATGGCCATTTTCAATAGCAAACTGTTAAATTACCAGAGGGTAAGCCATTTATCAGTGGAACTGCCACCCCAAGTCATCGTTGCTATACCCATCAGAAGCGCGTGGCTTGGACCAGCAGATGTTTGACCCACAACTCTAACCTAAATCAACCCAGGACGAGTTAAATATGATTAAATATAATAATAAATAATAATATGAAATAATAACAATATGCATATATATATATATATATCTATAACACCGTACATATATATATATATATATGTGTGTGTGTGTATTTGAAGCGACTTCAGCCCTGAACGTTCCGTTTGCCCGTGGTGTGGGCCCTTCCTGGTTTGGGCCTTGGGCCCCCAGCGGATCGCCAAAAAAGCGGATCGCCCCGGGCAGATGCCCCGGGCAGATTTTTGCGAATCCAGGTGTCACATGCGAATCAAATATCAACATTTTATGGGTTATGTATGTGTATCAAAATGGAGGTTTATCCATTAGAAATGGAGGTTTTATATGGTTTTATATGGGAAAATCATGGGAATATTAGTGGGATATACCCTCTGGTTATTTAACAGTTTGCCATGGTATAGATGGCCCATAGAAATAGATGGTTTACCGTTTTTAAAAATGGCGATTTTCCATGGCTATGTTAAATAACCAGATGGTATGTATATATATATATATAGTTAATGTATAATTATATAGATACTTATATATACAATAGAACACCTAGACCCTCCAAGTAAGTATCTCCAAGTCCTGTATCCATTTGTAAAAAATATATTAAAATACCATATATTCAAGATATTTGGGTAATATAGTCAATGGCCATTTCAGGACCCTAACTTGGAGGTACCTACCATATATAAGGCCTATTTTTTAGGGAATATCCCCACAAAATATGGCCTTATATGGTACAGTACCTCCATTTCAGGATCCTGAAATTCCCATTGATATAGTACTAGTCTATGGCTGCTTGGAGGTTCCAGGTATATCCCAGTCAATCTGGAGCAGCGTCAGTGGCATTGGTGGTCCAGTCTCACTTGTCCGATGTCGGTAGTTCAGATTTGGGGGCTTGTTTCACGTAAATGCATCTTGAACATCACCTATAGAGTCATATTAGAGTCATGAAGAGACCTTCCGAGGTGGCTTTGTCATGTGTCATTTCTAATGTATGTTTGGCTTCCACCCCATGGTCAGGTCAATCAACTCACCACCAAGTCTTGAAACAAAAAGTCACCACAAAAGCGAGCGCTTGGGTTTCCCCTCCAAGAACAGTAGGCAGTCAATATATGTCAACCCTGGAGTTCAAAAAAAAGACAGTTCCCATCCTTCCGAGGCACTCCTGAAGTGCAAGTGCCAACAAAAAGTCTCCCCACTCCGTGCTACCTCTGAGAGGCTTCGGGCGCTGAACGCCATGGCATTTCTGGTCATTTGCTGCTCGCTATGGAGCATGCTCGGGACGGTCCAGGCGAGGGGCGGATGGTGCTTCTCAAGGCCGTTTTTTTTGGGTTGGTTCATTGTGTTCAATGTTGCTATGCTTATCATGTTTATCATGTTTATCCACCAGGCCCAAACTTACCATTGGATCCAGGATGGTATGGATGGTAATTATAAAAGATCTGATTATTTCTTTACATTGCATTGCTATAGTATAGTGGGATGTTGGATGTTTTATCCCCACTTGGGATGATTAGGATGATTGTGAAGGTTGAAGCCACCAACCAACCTGGGTGAATGATGAGACAACAAACTCAGGATGTAGCCGACCTGGTTACCTCAAGTGTGGTACCTGCGCCCCTTAAATTATCATCTTTCAGGTCATTCTGAGAATCTGATTCCCCATGTTTTTCTTTCCTTACACTCCCCTCCCAGGGTTTTTCCCAACCCCGAAACGGCCCGAAACGCCAGGCCTGCTCCAACTTCGCCATGCAGAATGACTTCGGCCTCTCTGTGCGCACGATGGACTTGGGCGACACTTTGGGGCTCAGCCTCTCGGTGAAGCAACGCAAGCTTCATGGACGGCCACGATATAAAGACTGCATAAAAACATCATCCGGAAATATATAACATGTAATGCCAAGTCAGGATTAATCAACCCCCCCCCCCCAGGAGGTCGGAACTCTACCTTGTAGGTCATTTTCTTAAACACCCCATAATAATAAGCAACTCTGAACCATAAAACTTTGGATATGGCTTACGTCAATTAGATCTTAATAGAATTCCATTGGATTTGTTAAAATTTCATGGATCAGAAAGGTGGTTGATTAATTAGTGGCAAACCATGGTTATTATTACTGGGGGACATGGGCTCATGGGGGGTACCCTTTGGGAGCTATCCAAACTGATGTTTTTAATAAATATTTTAATTAGAAATCGATCATTTGGGGAATAGTTGTTTTTTGAAATTTTCAATGATCAACTTAAACCTGAAGTATAACAATGATGATTAAAAAAAAGGTAAAAAACAATTGGAAATAAATAGAATTGGAAATAAAACATGTTGGATAAAAAAATGGATTTCCGAAGTGGTGGTTGATTAATCGGGGGTAGGCCCACCGGTTTATTAATTTGTGGGGACCACCTGTTTTTAAATTGCATTTTTTTTTGGGGAGGAGGAGGTTGATTAATAACGGGCTGTTGATTAATCCTGACTTAACATTATATAACTTATAACCCCAAAGTTAGCTAGAATTCGGCAACATCCGAATCTGAAGTAGTGATGAATGATGTGTATCCTTTTTGGTGGGAAGATATGGCAACTATAAATCTACAAACGTAAACATTGACAGAACTGAAAATAATACACATCATTATTATTTATCATGTGCATATTTTCAGTACTATTCGAATTCAGATTGTAACTGTTTATTCATGTCTTCCAGATGTCAATCGTGGTGAACCATCCCCGTTGAAATTTCCCTAGAGAATGGGTAACCCCAAGGCCTAAATCACTTTCCCTAGGCCAGCCATTTTGCAGCATCACTGATTTCTTACTAATTTTGAAAGGGCCACACCCTGTTTGAAAGGCCATTTTGTAGGGAGTTGCCTGCACCTTACCATTTTGTAAGAGCAATAAGATGGATGATTCAGGCATAAAATCACTATCATCAAAGGAAGTTTAGTGGGAGAAACTTCCGTGTTACGGACTTTTAGAATGTCAACGAAAGAGTTAGTCAAAGAAAGAGTTAGTCAAAGAAAGAGTTAGTCAAAGAAACAGTTAGTCAGGGAAAGAGTTAGTCAAAGAAAGAGTTAGTCAAAGAAACAGTTAGTCAGGGAAAGAGTTAGTCAAAGAAACAGTTAGTCAGGGAAAGAGTTAGTCAAAGAAAGAGTTAGTCAAAGAAAGAGTTAGTCAAAGAACAGTTAGTCAGGGAAAGAGTTAGTCAAAGAAAGAGTTAGTCAGGGAAAGAGTTAGTCAAAGAAACAGTTAGTCAGGGAAAAAGTTAGTCAAAGAAAGAGTTAGTCAAAGAAAGAGTTAGTCAAAGAACAGTTAGCCAGGGAAAGAGTTAGTCAAAGAAAGAGTTAGTCAGGGAAAGAGTTAGTCAAAGAAACAGTTAGTCAGGGAAAAAGTCAGTCAAAGAAAGAGTTCGTCAAAGAAAGAGTTAGTCAAAGAAAGAGTTAGTCAGGGAAAGAGTTAGTCAAAGAAACAGTTAGTCAGGGAAAAAGGTAGTCAAAGAAAGAGTTAGTCAGGATATATGAGGTAGTCAAAGAAAGAGTTAGTCAAGGAAAGAGTTAGTCAAAGAAACAGTTAGTCAGGGAAAAAGGTAGTCAAAGAAAGAGTTAGTCAGGGAAAAAGGTAGTCAAAGAAAGAGTTAGTCAGGATATATGAGGTAGTCAAAGAAAGAGTTAGCAAAGAAAGAGTTCGTCAGGGAAAGGGTTAGTCACAGAAAGAGTTAGTTAGGGCATTGATTGTTCCCGCAATGCAAATGGGATTGCAAGTGGTGCTGGTGGATGAGTTGCCGATGGAGTTGTGAAGGAAGTCTCGCACGAAATGCGTTTTTGAGAGATAGCAGATACACGAAACCCTATGTTTTTCCACACAAAGTGCGTCCCCGAACCTCGATGATCTACCTCTGCGGTGCGACGGGTGCGAGACGGTCTCGTGTGTGGTCGGATCATGGTCGGATCATGCTCGGATTGGTCTCGGATCGGTTCCGCATTGTAAATGGGGTTTCAACTGTTTTTCGTGCATGTGTGGTCGACAGAATTCCATTGTGATTTGCAACTGTAGGATCGTTCCCGCATTGTAAATGGGGTTGCAAGTGGTGCTGGTGGATGAGTTGCCGATGGAGTTGTGAAGGAAGTCTCGCACGAAATGCGTTTTTGAGAGATAGCGGATGCAGGAAACCCTATGTTTTTCCATACACAGTGCGTCCCCGAACCTCGATGATCTACCTCTGCGGTGCGACGGGTGCGAGACGGTCTCGTGTGTGGTCGGATCATGGTCGGATCATGCTCGGATTGGTCTCGGATCGGTTCCGCATTGTAAATGGGGTTTCAACTGTTTTTCGTGCATGTGTGGTCGACAGAATTCCATTGTGATTTGCAACTGTAGGATCGTTCCCGCATTGTAAATGGGGTTGCAAGTGGTGCTGGTGGATGAGTTGCCGATGGAATTCCATTGGGATTTGCAACTCTAGGATCGTTCCCGCAATGTAAATGGGATTGCAAGTGGTGCTGGTGGATGAGTTGCCGATGGAGTTTTGAAGGAAGTCTCGCACGAAATGCGTTTTTGAGAGATAGCAGATGCACGAAACCCTATGTTTTTTCATACAAAGTCCGTCCCCGAACCTCGATGATCTACCTCTGCGGTGCGACGGTTGCGAGACGGTCTCGTGTGTGGTCGGATCATGCTCGGATCATGGGCGGATCATTCTCGGATCGGTTCGCATTGTAAATGTGGTTTCAACTGTGTTTCGTGCATGTGCAGTCGACAGAATTCCATTGTGATTTGCACCTGTAGGATCGTTCCCGCAATGTAAATGGGATTGCAAGTGGTGCTGGTGGATGAGTTGCCGATGGAATTCCATTGTGATTTGCAACTCTAGGATCGTTCCCTCATTGTAAATGGGATTGCAAGTGGTGCTGGTGGAGGAGTTGCCGATGGAGTTTTGAAGGAAGTCTCGCACGAAATGCGTTTTTGAGAGATAGCAGATGCACGAAACCATATGTTTTTCCATACAAAGTCCGTCCCCGAACCTCGATGATCTACCTCTGCGGTGCGACGGGTGCGAGACGGTCTCGTGTGTGGTCGGATCATGCTCGGATCATGTTCGGATCATGGGCGGATCATGGTCGGATCGGTTCCGCATTGTAAATGGGGTTTCAACTGTTTTTCGTGCACGTGTGGTCGACAGAATTCCATTGTGATTTGCAACTGCAGGATCGTTCCCGCATTGTAAATGGGGTTGCAAGTGGTGCTGGTGGATGAGTTGCCGATGGAATTCCATTGTGATTTGCAACTCTAGGATCGTTCCCTCACTGTAAATGGGATTGCAAGTGGTGCTGGTGGATGAGTTGCCGATGGAATTCCATTGTGCTTTGCAACTGTAGGATCGTGTCCGCAGTGTAAATGACTGCGTCAAGGTTGCTTCGTGCTGTGGCTGCATTGGTAATACTATTGTCTTTTGCAGCTGGATCTCGTAAATCGTACTGGAGTGGCTGCATGAAGGCTGCCACAATGATTTGTAAGCAGATTTTCTCCATTTTGGCGCTAGTGATTTTCCTTCTAAAAATCCTTTTAAAAAGTGCTTCAAAATCGTCTTTTTTTCGCTCTGGCGTCGAGATCCGGTTTTGAAGCTACAATTTCCGACGCCGTTGCGCGTAGTTCTATTGTGTTTTGCAACTCAGTCTCTGCAGATCGCATTGTAATGGCTGCGTCAAGGTTGCTTCATGCTGTGGCTGCATGCGTAATACTATTGTCTTTTGCAGCTGGACTTCGTAAATCGTATTGGAGTGGCTGCATGAAGGCTGCGACAGTGATTTGTCAACAGATTTTCTCCATTTTGGCGCTAGTGATTTTCCTTCTAGAAATCCTTTTAAAAAGTCCTTCAAAATCGTCTTTTTTTCGCTCTGGCGTCGAGATCCGGTTTTGGAGCTACAATTTCCGACGCCGTTGCGCGTAGGTCTATTGCGTTTTGCAACTGAGTCTCTGCAGATCGCATTGTAATGGCTGCGTCAAGGTTGCTTCGTGCTGTGGCTGCATTCGTAATACTATTGTCTTTTGCAGCTGGACTTCGTAAATCGTATTGGAGTGGCTGTATGCGCCACAGTGATTTGTCAGCAAATTTTCTCCATTTTGGCGTCAGTGATTTGCTTTCTAAAAATATTTGTAACAAGTGCTTCAAAATCGTGTTGCACAACAACAGTACGTGGTTGGACGACAAAGAGTCGGACGACGCAGTTCTCCGCAGACAATACCGTTTATCTGGGAAGCTGTGCGGTCCTTTCAACCAGAGTTTGTTGATGCTGAGATGAAGCGCAGACAAGGTCTTGCCGCAGAGGTTTCATCTCTCGTTTGACTGCCGAGGGCTGGGTGTGCGTTGTTATGAACCGCATCCGGGTGTGAATTGCTGTGCTTCAGTAGCTTCGCCTTTCATTTGACCTTGCGAACCGCAGAATGCCTCTGTCACTTGGTTTTGGTTTCTCTGTGCGTTGTTACGAACCGCACAATAAACCATGATCGTATACTGCATACATGTGAAAAAAACATGTTGTCGTGGGAGCGGGTAAATGCAAGGTCCCACTAAGATCCGCTCAATGCTTTATGCAGCATGGGTTGGATTTTTGTAGTTTGTTGAAAGTATGATTTTCTGGACCATTTCCTTTTCCAGACATCAGACCTCAAGCTGGGTGAGATGGTATGTTTCGTGTTTATTTGACCTCTGTTGAATGAGATGGTTGGTTGGGGATCTACAATTTGGATGAGGAAGTGCGTTTCGTATTTCTTGGACCCTAGTTGGTACGTGTAATTGTTTCTTCACTTCGACTATGGGGAATTTCGATCTGTTATATTTACCCTATGATGTTGTCTGGTAGCGGTTGTGTAGTTTCAGCTCTGCAACGTTACCGCTGCCGTTTGTGTATGTGATCAAATCTATCGGCAAGACCTAAATCATATTATGTCATGTTTTGAATCATCACATGTTTTTTTTAACGCATGCATCATGGAGTTTGCAAGGGACACCCGACGTGCGACGTTACGGTCCGCGGTGGCTAACATATGTGTATAGCAGCATGTTGGATATAGGTAGAAAAATAATTTTCATAAGTATTGTTGATCGAGACCATTTCAAATTTAATCACCTTTTTTTTTAATTGTCTGTTGTAGTGGAGCGTGTGATTAAATCGATTCGGTGAGAACACGATCATATATAGCAAGCATGCAACGTAGCCATCATATATAGCGTCTTACGTGAACAAGTGTCAACAAGCATCATGCATGTACACGATACAACCTTGCAACTGCGTATACTCGCAACGCGTACGTGCGACGTTCTGGTCCGCGCAAGCGTGGGTACGTGCGACGCTGTGGTCCGCGTAGGCTAGCGCCATGGAATCGTCGCTGTTCGAAGACCTTGTTTGTTTCTTGCAGAAAGAAGAGCTTGTGTTGAAGGCTTTGCGCGCCACGGATTTGAAAGCATGCTTGCGGACAGGGACAGGCACCAAAGGATACGAAGCAAATGTAGAGCGAGCCAAGTATTATAGAATTTACAATAAGATTGAGAAGCAAGTAACGCCTGACCAAAAAGCTACTCTAATGGATTGGGAACGAAGGCTTTGCAGTGAGGCGGAGGACATTGATTTCGCACGGTTGCTTGCCATATTTGCAAGCCGTGAAGAGGAGCTGAAGCAAATGAGAAAACCGAGCCTCGAAGCATGCTTTAACAGCAACCCGAGCAAGACAGACAAGGACTTAAAGTTTTGCCAAAATTTCTTCAAACGCAAAAAAACAAGTATGACATATGAACAGCAAAAGGTTGTGGATGAATGGGAGGAGAAGATTTGTGGCGATGGTGCGGGGTTATGTCCTGCCATCGATGCAGATTTCATGCGTTTGCTGACTATACTGGAAAACCGCGAAGATGACTTGCGACAAATCCGAAAAACAAGTCTCGAAGCATGTTTCAACAGCAACCTGAGCAATACAGACAAGGACTTAAAGTTTTGCCGAAATTTCTTCAAACGCAAAAAAGCAAGTATGACAGATGAACAGCAAAAGGTTGTGGATGAATGGGAGGAGAAGATTTGTGGCGATGGTGCGGGGTTGTGTCCTGCCATCGATGCAGATTTCACGCGTTTGCTGACTATACTGGAAAACCGTCAAGATGACTTGCGACAAATGCAAAAAACAAGTCTCGAAGCATGCTTCAACAGCAGCCTGAGCAATACAGACAAGGACTTGAGTTTTTGCCGAAATTTCTTGAGGCGCAAAAAAACCAGTATGACTTATTTCAAACCTTAGTCTCTTAAATTTGGATTCCTGTTGATTTCATATGTCCAGGGAAAGAACTATGGAAAGAACTATGTAGCAATCCATGGAAATAAGGGGTGTTTCCACTAAAAATGTTACCCAATGAAGAAACCCACCACTTTGAAAGGGAAACACATTGCTCCAAGTTCTTGGACAAAAAACCTTTCAACATCAAGTTAGATGTTACATACAAACTTCGTATTTGAAACTATTGGTCCGTAAGTTGGAAAGGAAAACAGTATACAACAATATACAACATCTGTGTAATTCGGGGCCCCATATTTCTTCAAAAAGGAGAACACGAAAGAATGCATGTGCGCAAGCTCCAAGTAGAAAAAAGAACTCATAAAAACAATATTACGATGTGACCCTGTATACTGTAAAATTGGTTAACTAGTGCATTGATGAGTGTATGTATGGCTGTGTGCTCATGTGCATGGATGAACTGCAAATGCAGATCCACAGTTTTTAAGTATTGTTTTCGATGCTGCGAAGACCACGGTAAAACTTAGGTAAAACATGGTGAAACAAATTTATCAACTGCAAACGGAATCCTACGTATTTGTAGCAGATCAAAGATGTGTTACTGTATTTCTGTCGCTACGTTGTTGTGCATTGGTCCTTAGCAGTGTTGCAGTAACAGATTACAATCATTATGAATATGTCATTTTATCCAAATACAACGCTTAAACTTTATTGTTGCGTTTTATACAAACGAACCCCGTCGATATACGTCCAAACTTTCAAACATACACGAACAAACAAGAACATATAATTCATCTAAAAACTCAAACAGTCTTATATAAATCATAAATACAAAGCAAGTAAAGTAAAGCAAACATCAAAAATATACTTATAAAGTTAAACAGTTGAAGTCAAATCGAGAAGTAAAGTCAAAGTTATGTTACAAGTTAAAGGTTCTAAGTTTTAGTTATAAGTTGTAAGTTCAAAGTTAAAAGGTTACAAAGTTATAAGTTACACAGTTTTTCGTGTCAAGTCATAACTAGAAGCTTTAAGTTGTAAATTAACAGTTATAACAATGTGTTTCAATTTTAAAACAGTTCCTAAACCTTATAAACTGATTTATTGAAGTTTGATAGTCAAGAGTTATGGACTATGATTTGTATTTTACAAAGTAGCTATAAGCTACAAGTGTGTATATTTGGTTTTATCAAGTTATATACAAGTATAAAAGTAAGTTAACGTATTTGGGGTTTGCAGAACGGTTCGGAACGGTTCCGGAGATTTCCCCAGAACGGTTCGGAACGGTTCCGGATACTTCCAAAACCTCAGAACTATTTAGAACTATTTAGAACGGTTCCGGAACGGTTCCGGATTCAAAGCCTATAGACCCCAGAACGGTTCGGAACGGTTCCGGAGACCTCCATATAATAGCATATGTTGACTTGTATAATAGCATATTTTGACTATATGATTATTTAACTTTAATACATAGAGTTTGAACAAATAAACACATGCTAGTACCATAAGCAATGATGATTCGACACAAGCGATATGTTCAAAGGGATATTTCAATACAAACTACACATTTGTATGATGTTGTTAGAAAAGATTCCACAGAACAGTTTTCAAGACAGGTAAGATTTTGAAAGGGGCCACGCCTTCCATGAACAAACAGCTGAGAAACTTCCAGCCTTTTGTAGTCTACATCCAGTTTCACCTTCTCCCTTGTGCTCAGCATGCCTTTGCACTGCCTGTTCAAAGACTTAGGCGGAGAAGTTGCCTTCCCTTTGTCGTTTTTCTGAATCCTTTCTCTTGTAGCCTTGGCCCTTGGAGCCACAGGGCGGCTCTTTGGAAGGTTTTGAAAATGCGAAACAGGAGGAACTGCTCTTGACCGTTTTTTGGGGGGGTTGGAAGCTGTGGAGAAATATCTCCGTGCAAAGTTGAGGTCTGCAGAACCGTTCCGAACCGTTCTGGAGGTCTGCAGAACCGTTCCGAACCGTTCTGGAGACCTCTGCGCTAAGAAAATTGTCACGTAACTTGGTTCTCTGTGCCAAGAATCCCGGGGAAGGCACGGACAAGGTTGAGCCATTCCGGATGCATTAGTCCCAACCTGAAAGATCCTGAAAGTAACCCATCATCACCCTCAAGAACCCCACCGCTAGCGCTATATATATATATATTCTGAAAAGTATCAAATCATGGTCCAAGACATTATCGGCAGCTATATACAATAGAGTTTGTTTCTTGTATGGGTAGTAGCACGGTAGTAGCAACAGTCTTGCCAGAGTGACAAAATACCAACAATATAGCCTGGATGTTGCACTGCTACCGCTACTGCATATTTTTGATCCAGTCCAGAACTGGTGGGGAAAAAGACAGCAATGGGAATGCAGCCAACAACCAGCATTGCCTTTGTTCTTTTTTTGAAAAGGGAAGTCACATAATCCCAACAGCCTGAACACATTGCAGAAGCCAGCTCAGCGCGCCCAAACACACATGGACTGCCTTCCAATAATTGAAATTACATATTGATAGAATTCGACTTCAGCGCCTGTTCCTTCCACCTAAGTATTTCTCCAATTGCGCTTAAACCGCCTGAATCTTCCCTCAAACAAATGCAGCATCATAAATTAAACCCACTATCTGTATGCGAGTTGTGTATTGATTCAAGGTTTCAAGTATTTGGGGCAAGGTTGTTAAGTAATCAAAGCTGAATTTAGCCCAGTATCACACTAGACAATTAATTAGCTGCAAATAGAATTCCACTTCGGCGTTTGCTTCTGTCGCCTGAGTATGTCTCCCATCTTGAAGAAAAAACAAACCATATTTTCACCCAAATGCCAGCCCCAGACTAGAATTTGGAATGCATAATCTACTTAAGCGCACATGGAATTCTACTTAGGCGTCAGTTTGTGACGCCTAAGCAAAATTCTATTTGCGCCTAAGTAGATTATGGATTATGTTTTCCAACAGCCCCAGACTAGATTTCTATTTGCGCATAAGTAGATTATGACTGTGAATTATGTCTTCCAACAGCCCCAGACTAGAATTTGGAAGACATGGTCTAATAAGGCGCAAAAGTAATAGAATTCTACTTAGGCGTCAGTTCGTGACGCCTAAGCAGAATTCTTTTTGCGCCAAAGTGGATTATGAATTATGTTTTCCAACAGCCCCAGACTAGAATTCTATTTGCGCCTAAGTAGATTATGACTATGAATTATGTCTTCCAACAGCCCCAGACTAGAATTTGGAAGACATGGTCTAATAAGGCGCAAATAGTAATAGAATTCTACTTAGGCGTCAGTAGATTATGAATTTTGTCTTCCAACAGCCCCAGACTAGAATTTGGAATGCAAAATCTATCTGGCGCAAATAGAATTCTACTTGGGCGTCAGTTCGTGACGCCTAAGTAGAATTTTATTTGCACCTAAGATTACCTAAGTAGATTTAGTCTTCAAAAGAAAGACCGAAACATAAGTTCAGCCCAATCTCACAATCAGAATTTTATATCTGTAGACTGTGGATCAGATAGGTATAAAGTATCCATGGCAAGTTTTTGTTATTAGCAAAACTAAACTGAATTCATCACCGGTCCACAATACAAATTCAATTTAGGTCAAGTACTTCACGACTTTGAGCGCAAACCCAGATGGATGAATCTGGATGTGTCCTCGCTGTGTGCATTGTTTTGTTTCTTTACTTCTTCAAAAGCTTGCTAATTTTCCCTTGACATGGTTTCTAACATCACCTTTTATAAGATATCCTTATTGCCCTGGTTTCTTCCATAGTCCCTTCCATAGTTCCTTCCATGGTCCACAAGGCCCACAGGTTAAGAGGCTAAAGTTTGAAATAAAGTATGACAGATGAGCAGCAAAAGGTTGTGGATGAATGGGAGGAGATCATTTGTGCCGATGGTGCGGGGTTATGTCCTGCCATCGAGGCAGATTTCGCACGTTTGCTTACTATACTGGAAAATCGTGAAGATGACTTGCGACAAATGCAAAAAACAAGTCTCGAAGCATGTTTCGGGACACGTGTCAGCAATGCAGACAATGATCTTGGTTTTGGACGGAACTTTTTCCGTCGGCGGAAAGATATGTTGACGGATGAGCAGCGCAAGGTTCTTGAGGACTGGTCTTCCAAGATTTGTTCCCATGAGCATGTTGATGATGGTTTTCGGCGCTTCCTTGCAACTTTGCATGCTCGAGCACAGGAGCTGTCTGCCTTGCGCAAATGTGACCTGAAAGACATCTTTTCGTCCCATATGTGCAAAAAAGATTCGGAGTTGAAATTTTGTCAAAACTTTTGGCGGCGCAGCGCAGAAAAATTGAGTCCCGAGCAAAAGGAACAAGTGGAGGATTTGAAAGCAGGAATTCTTTGGCCTCATGCGCAAGACGATCGTGCGGCGTTGCGGCCCGCGGTTGTCAGGATGTTGGACAAATTTGAAAACATACTTGCACGCAGAGAGGCAGAATTTCGCGGCTTTGGGGCTGCAAGTGTTTATGGTCTGTTTACCGGGCACGCGAAGAAATCTGATTCTGAGGTTAGATTTTGTTACGATTTTGTCAGCCGTGTGTTTCCCAAACTGGAAGATTCGGAGCAACAGCGACTTCGAATCAAACTGGATGACCTGTTGTTAAAAAGCTGCTCTGTGCCCGTGAAAAGTAGTTACCAGGCCAAACTACACGATGCAGAGACTGTCTTGGGCGACGCTCTTCCACGCCCAAGACTGCCGAAAAGTTTGCGTCAGCTGTTTGGCAACAGTATGGATGCAGAGGCAAGGATCATGCCGTTTTTGCACCGTGTTCATGAGGTGGATGAGTTCATGGTTTCCTTAAAATTTCAAGACTGTGACTATTGCCACGAAGGATGGTTTGGCAGTGATAGAAAACGGTCAGACTTGCCCGGTGGTTTTGAAACCGAAACCTATAAGAAGACCAATTTCTTGCGTGCGCCTGAGAACCAGTGGCTAGACCCAGAGCGACCGATCTGTCAAAATTGTCTGCGAGAAGCTAAAGGACGCGCTGCGGAGGGCTATCCCAAGGAGCCTTTCCGCTTGACAGGTGCTAACTTCGCAGATCCTGGGCCAACGTTGCCAGAAACCGACGCTTTGAGCTTCTTTGAAGAGGAGATCTTGTCGCCAATCCAGCATATTGTCCGCATCTTCACGTTGCACGCAACAGGACAATGTGAGCTCCGCGGTCACGTGGGTAACCTGTTCCAAAATGGCCCACAGTATGTTCGTGACATCCCTGCAGCCGTGGGTGACATGAAGATGCTTCTGATACGGCGGTGTCCCAAGGATCCAAACCGCAAGCAACGAGTGCCTTTCCTTGTGTCAAGGCGACGTTTGCAACGTGCTCTTGATCGCCTTTGTCGCACGTTGGAGGAGGATGGTTCTTTGGCTCTCCAGCCCGGAGCACTGACACCTGGCGGCTACGTCGACTTGGTGAAGCGGGGAAACCTCGACCAGTATGCAGACACTGAGGAAGGCGAGGAACCCCATGGTCTGCAAGTTCATGTCGTCGAGCAAAGACCATGGGAGCGCGTGGAGCGCAAGCTGTTCGCTTTGTGGATGTCGTGCTCGCTGGAGTTGCAGATGGCAGCCCAGGTACGTCTTTTGCATGAGCCCGAAGATGTGCAGGATCCGGCGGAGAGGGTGGATGTTCTGTGGAAGAATTTGCGTGCTGCTATGGATGCCAAAGCCCCGGATGTCGTGGGCGGCCCTTCAGACTTGATGTTTACAACGCTGGCTCAATACTTGTCTCTGCAGTTTTCGGATAAAAATGTGCAAGACGTAGAAAACATTTTGCACGATGAACTGACGGCAGTGCAGGAGTTAGCTTCCTGGGAAGAGCCTTTGGTGTCGGATGGCTTGTGGTCGCCTGAAGATGTAGCTGGCCAGCAGACTGAAGCAGAATTGAAGGATGACTTGTGGGAGACGATCTGTAAAGCCAACGAAAGCGCCAGCAACAAATCTACAATTCGTCGTTTTGGAGCAGCACGGGTGCAAGGAGTGCCTATTCTGGATCCCCCAACCGTAGCATCCAGAAACCAACTAGTCAGGGAAGATCAACCTTATTACATTGTTGCTGGTTTTGTGAAATTGTTTCCACTTGGACAAGGAGATTTTTGGGCGCACTTGCAGCAGCACCAAGAGGAAAACCAACAGCCGTTGTCCTTCTGGGAGTGGCTGAAGCATTTGCTTTTGCGTTCGGATGGTCGTTTTCAAGCCCACCCACGGTTCTATTTTTTTGCTCTGAACACCGCTTTGCGCAACAAGGCTTTGCGTGCCCGGGGATATTTTATGAAGCGCCAGCAGGGGGCCAGCAGCAACGTTGCGTACACTACAGAGGAACTTTTCAACATGGGTAAAGCTCAGTTCACCAAGATTGTGTCAGCTTTCGAACACTCCATGGCCGGTTCAGCGCAGGAGAAGTTGCGAGAACGCAGTGACTTAGAGGCCATGGTGGAGCAGATTGAACAAGAGACGTTGCAAGATCAGGCTCACGCTTTGTTGCAAGCTTGGCGCGAAGCGGAATCTGCTGGAAACATGCTTGAGCAGCAAGGTTTTGCTACTTCTGCTGCAGAAGTGCGAGCCGTGTGCTCCGTTGCAAAAGCTGCGGTGGAGAAGGTCTTGTCGCCAGAAACCATTGAAGCCCAAGCTAAGCCTTCTGTCTCGTGTGTCGTTGTGGACCGCGAGATGGATGAAGGGCCCCAGCCTGATGTCGCGCGCGTCGTTGCGGACCACGCGGCAGAACCGATGCAGCAGGAAATTGAAGTCAGCCCAGCTGCGGAGGAAGAAAGTGGCTTTGCGTGCTCCAGGGGGCCGCTCAGGACCTAAAACTATTCAAGATTTGCTGTTGGAGGTGCAACAGCGTAGCTTGTGTGTGCAGGGTGGCGGTGAAATCCCATGTCACTTTAGCACTTTGACAACCGCCATTTACCATTGGGATGATTTAGCCACATGCTTAGAGCGGTATGAAGCAGCTGTCCTGCAGCAGCGGAACAACAGAGCCGATCCCTTGGAACCAGCAGAACGGCAGTTGTCGTCTGAACGCCGGCGAGTCCTGCGTTACCCCGGGGTGGTCGCCTGGTTCACTGCGTACAAAATGGAGCTCTTTTACAAGCATGTGTTGAGATATGAGGATGGACAGGGTGTGTTCGAATGGGGCGCAGGTGGCATTATGCATTTGCATTCGATCAATTTTGGCTCTTGCATGCCACGTGTCGATCCAACCGCAGCAGGCATGCAGCAACCGGACGAGAAGAGTGCCGAGATAGCGGCGCAGTTTGCAGAGATGCATGAAGAGTACTTGACGGATTGGAGCCTCAGCAAAGCAGAGAAGTGGACCTTTCATGAGGTGGACAATTGCGCTGCCAGATCTGCTCGTGTAGGGTCACCTTTGCACACAGACTCAGAATCTGATGGCTCCGAGGATATGGAGGATGCGTTGGACGAAAAGTGCGTTCGCCGTAAGGCCCCTGGTGCTGGTTTAGATCTTGGTGCAGCTGCAGATGTGTTTGGGCAGCATGCTGTGGCAGAGGATGTCGATTTTCAACGTGTTTACCCCACAGCAACTACAATGGTGTATGTGCTGTCACAAGGTGCTCGTGTGACACAGGCTTTGACAGAAACAGATCGCGGTTTATTGCGTACTTTGGATGTTTCTCTCCAAGATCCAACTTGGCACCCCTGTCGAATTTCTGTTGCGCAAAAAGCTTTGCTAATGACCAACAACTGCAGGTTGGTTCGCCGCGCTCGTCGCAAGTGGTATCGCAGGCTGACGGAAAAATGCAATAGGCATGATCGGCACGGTGGTGCAGGTTTTGAAATTCCGCCTGTTCATGTTGAAGCGAATGTAGACACACAGCCCGAGGAAGAAGAAGGCGCCGAGCCAGAGGCAGAGGTTGTCACGGCGCGGATGCAGCAGTGTCCACTGCGTGTTGGAACACTGAACATGCACTTGCTGTCGCCGTGTACTTGGCTTGAGGATCTCTTGGACAAGTGCGATGTTCTGTTCTTGCAGGAAGTCACCGCTGAGTGCTTGGAAGATCTTTGCTTGTTGGGACAACAAAACGGTTACGAAGCGGTGTCGCCGCTGTTGCGTGGCCAAACGCCGGAGGAAGGGTTTGATGTGTGTGTTCTGTTGAAGCTTGACGTTTTACAGTCTCGCAGAGTCACGATTTCGCCTTTACCATCTCCTTCCAACAGAAAGCTTTTACAGGTGTATGTCACTCTCCGTGACAATGGGTCAATGCTGTTGGTTGCCACAGCGCATTTCACGTCGGGTTCGAGCATGGTAGAGCAAAGGGCTTCGGAACTTCAATCTGTTTTGGCTACTCTAGAAGCATTAAGCAACGTAGACGCTTGTGTTTTCGCTGGTGACTTGAACATGCGTCTGGAAGAAGCCTTGCCACCAGGTGTGTCCCCAGGCTGGCGAGATGCATGGGAAGAAGATGGAAGCCCGGAAACCCGGTGTGGCACCTGGTGTCCTGAAAGCATGCAAGCGGATGATGCACGCGTGCGTGCGTGGCGTTTCGATCGCATTTTGACTTTGTGTCAGTTTGGGCACATGGACAAGCCTGGTCCTACGCCGTTACGGGCTGGGACAGAGGCTACCGAACGGGTTGCCTTCGCCACTGTGGAACTGCAGCCGGGGTCGTTCGATGTTTCATTTCAGTCGCAGGACTTGGATCATGCATTTGTGCAAGCGAAGTTCGAGTTCATGCCTGTGGTTGCCGGTGAACGCGAACTTGTAACAGAACGAGTAAAAATCTTGAGACCCGGACTGGGTTCAAAGATTGCGCGCAGGCCTCTGGAGCGAGAAAGCTGCGCGCAAAAACAACATTGCAAAAGTTTTTGCGGCAAGGACTACGAGAAGCCTCGCATGTTACCAGGAATGGGTGCCATTTTGGAAGATAGCCGGCGAAAGAGTTTGTTCCGGTTGTATACGCGTCGGAATTGCCACCACTTGAACACGCACGACCCCTTGAAAGCTATGGGTTTGGTGGCTAACGTAGATGATCAAGTGGTACTGACCGTGCAAGCCGCTGTGAATTACTTGACTAAGTATATGGGCAAAATCGGCGGAGGCCATAGTGCGCAAAGTCGCATCAGCGGATTGATAGATGACATCGTATGTCGCATGGGTGATCGTGAGACGATGACTGTTGCATCGCTTTTGTCAAAGCTTTTTATTCACTCGGCCGTTCCGGATGAAATTTGTTCCTTGGAGGCATGGCATATTTTGATGGATTTGCCCCGTGTCCTGTCGTCCAGGTATGTGACGTCTTTGAATGTCAAGGACGATTCGAGCGCCTTGAAAGATTTGCCCAGCATTGAACTAGCAACTGCGGAAGAGAACGTGGTGAAGAAGAGCAAGGTGGCTGTCTACTTGGATCGATTCAACATGAAGGCGCAAGTCGATATCTCCGCAGCATCTCTTGAGAACATGTCCCTTTTTCAGTTCATCAGTCGCATAGATCGGCGTGGGAAGTCGTTGCACTTGCGAACCAAAAGCACGATTGTGAAGGAGAAACCGTTCTTGCGCTTGGATGCTCGGCGTAAGGAGGCGGGCGCCATGGCCCGTCTGTGCTTGCGTCTGCATCGCCCTTTTCGAACTGAAGCTGCGGATCCGATGCACCTCGAAGATGGGACGGCTGTTGCAGAGTTGCATGCATTTGTGCGAAGCCCCACCTGCCCGGTTTGGTTGAAAAAAAGATATGCCAAGCACAATCGAGTCAAGGCCGCCAAGCAAGCGGCGGAAGCACTGTCTTCGGTGAACATCACAGCAGCAACGGAGAACGCCAATGTCTCGCACGGGGCGGTGTTGCGACCCGCCGTGCCAGTTTCCCAAGCCGCAATGGGTCCAGCTGTGCCAGAGGACGGTGCGTCCCAGTCGCTGTCTGCAGGCGATCCCGGGGACGGTGCGGTGTTTCGACCCGCCGTACCCGCTTCGCAGACAGGTATGCGTCCAGTAGTGTCACAAGCTAGTGCACCCGATGCCATCCGTGTCCCCCTCGTACCAGCACCAGGTAGCAGCGCGCGTGTCATAAATTTAAGTGCCGGAAACACGGAGGATCCTGAACCTGATGATGTGTGCATGGACAATGTAGAGTCAAGCGACAAGTTTTTGGCCGACACTGTTGCAAACCGGCAAGTGGTTGCAAACCGACATGGTTTACTGTGGGGTGGTACACCGGGAGATAGCCGTCACAGTGTGGTTGACGCTATTCGGTTGCATAGGCCGCCTTTGAAATTGGTGTGTGTCAAACAATACTTGGAAGCACTGACAGGTACCAAGCCGCAAGGTTCCAAAAAAGTACAATTTTTGGTGGAGCGTTTTGTGTTTTTAATGTTGTTCATTGACTTGCAGTCGTACGAAAAAAGAGGTGCTGGAGTTTTCAAGCAGTGTTTGACGAAGAAAGCGTTGCAGAACTTGGCTACCTATTTTTTCCAGTCGCAGGGCTCGGCCGTGACTGCTAAACAAAAGAAAAATGTAGTTATGAAACCGTATGCTGAGTTGTGGGAATACATTAAATCAGAAACCTTGAAGCAGTGCGGTCTGGCAGTGTCGGCTTCACCTGCGCACCGCGTCGGTTTCGATGGACAAGCGGCGAACACCCAGGCAGAGCTCAAGAGCGGCGCCTGGCGGCAGAGTGTATTTTGTCTGAATCCACAATCTCTGGAACATGAAGAATGGGAGGACGCCGCCGAGAGAGAAGCAAAGAGAGTGCGGTATGTACAGGCAGCTATGCACGAACAGAGCATGGGTCGGCCGGGAAAGCGCTTGCATGAAATGTCGTTGCCTTTGGATGCAGATGCGCTGATGTGCGCCGACTTTGATACCAGGTCCGAATGGGATGCTTTGAACCCTTACTTGGAAAAGGTGACTTCACAATGGATATGGCCGGAGCTGGCTGTTAAGATTCTCCCAGAAACCAAAACCTACGTTCTCAAGCCGTCGCAAGGGGGCTTGGCGCACACTGAAGCAGAGCAGATGACTAGTGGACATGGCGGTTCCTGGCAAACGAACGGAGAACCTTCGCTTGACCCCACGCAGAATTCGTTTGTCGAACACATGTGTGCCTGGAGAGATGCTTACAGAGCCGAGAGAGAAGTCTTCGAGGCGAACTTGCCGTTGCCACGCAATTTGCATGGGTCCATCGCCTTAGGGGAACCAGTGCTATTTGCTTTGCTTATTTGTGTTTGTGTGCTATTACTGGGAACGGCAGGAACTGGGAAAACTACGACATTACAAGCTGCAAATCGCCTCTTGGAAGCATGCGGCTTCCAAGGTCGCATTGTTCGCTGTGCATACACTGGTGTTGCCGCAAGCAACATGGGCAGCGGAGGTCGAACGCTCGTGTCTCTGTTCCGTCTGAGCAAGCGCAAATTCGGAGGTGGCTTGGAACCTTTGTCCTCAGAAGATCTTCGAGCAATGGATGAGGAACTCAAAGGCATGTGCTTGCTTGAAATTGACGAAGTGTCTATGACAGAAAAGCTAATCCTTGCGCACGTGCATCAACGCCTACAGCAGTGGCGGCTCGAGTTATATCACGATCAACACTGCCGCGGTGGTGCGGAGTTGTGTCCCGCCACGGCCTGCGTTTGCGGTGCTAGGCTGCCGTTTGGCGGCGTGAAAGTTGTTCTTGCAGGTGATTTTGGCCAGTTGCCGCCAGTGGCAGTACCGCCAGAACGAACTCTGCTATGCACCAAGCCGAAAACTGAAGGGCAAGATCGGCAAGATGTCAACCTTGGACTGCGGTTGTTTCAGCAGATTCGTGTTGTTTTTCGGCTGCGCAGGATTCACCGGCAGGTCGGTCAATCATTATACAAAG